AAATAGGTGAGGTTGGCGAAATCGATCCGGTTCTTTCGCTTTAATGCTACAGATTGACATATGTCAGCCTCAATTCTATTCGAGATAACCGTGATCTTGAACACATGGTCGGCTTACTTATGAAGATCCGTGGCTGCTCTTTTGGATAGAACTGTATTGCCCATGTCGACTATTAGCTTCAAGATCTTCTGATTGGCAGGATCTGGATCGGTCGTGGCCGCCTTGAATTTTTCATGGGACAAGCGTTTAGCTTCCACCGGCCGAGAATGAGAAGGGAAATCGACCTGCAATCACTGTTCAGTATACTTTGAAAGTCTTGAATGTTAATGCTTCACCTACCAAGAATAGCTTTTTGAAGTCTGTGGGCAAACTCAGCCCGATGGAGTCCCCTTTCTGGTCGACCGCCGAGTCCCACCCAGCTTCCCGGAGTACTTTCAAACCATGACGACTGCGAGAGATCAAGCCAAGAACAAAGAAAGCAGTGCCCCGCATTGTCAAGACTTCAGCGCTTTCGGCAATCTTCACAATTTGCTGAACGATGTCCGTTTCGAGAAACGGTGCTCCCAATTCCATAGAGCCAACGTTGCCGACAGCCCAGAGGCAGCCCTTGACTTTGAGAAGCGCCTCGGTATCTTCTTCGTCCAATCGAAAATCTCGAATCGCCCAAGCGAATTCACTGAAGTGGCCCGATTGTTCCAGAAGTCGACACCCCTCTTTCGTCCTCGCAAGTTCTCTGTAGAAATGCGGCGGTACGACTCCAATGTCCTGCAAATCCACGAAATCCTCAGGCGCAAAGCTACCCCTGCGGGGTTGGTCAACGTAGGCCCTGGAAAGCGCAGCTTCCACGAGACCAACGTAGGCGTCGTTCCGGCCTAAGAACCAATCGTCCATTTCTTGCGTGATGTAGTCAAGGCCGTCCAAGTAATGATAGCCAACCGATGTCGACAAAAATCGTAGAAGTAAAGGTGCGCCAATCTCACCGAGGTGATCGAGTGAAGGCCGACATTTGACAACATACTCGAGGTAGTCTCGCTGGTTGCACGCTTCCTCAAGTATCTTGACGGCAACCTGGCATACGGAAACATCAGGATCGTATAGCTGGGTTACCAACAGCTTAACAACCCAGTCCGCTCTCCCGATTCCCCCTTGCGCGGAAAGATGCACATTTCCGACTGCGTACTTCCGCAGCAGCTTCGTCGCGAATATGCGGATCTCTTTAGAACCAGTAGTGAGGGCTTTAGACAGCAGAACTCTCAAATGGCTTTCTTGACTATAGTCGAGGTTACCCAAAAGAGTTTGTATCAGATCATCCCGATCCTGGAGTTCAATGATATGGTAGAACATGTTGAGCATGTGCCATCGCTCCATCATGGCAAGGCCGTTGGGGTCGCCGCTCAGCGTTCCCAACATGGCAAAGTATCCTCCGCTCAACGTGGTAGCCATCTGCTCTCGCGAAAAGAGAGGCGAAGAGGAGGTCAGTCCGCTCATGCGATCCACTTGTGCGAGACATTCAGCAACCTGCCTTAAGAATTTGTTCTCCGCCAGATACTTTGTTCCCTCTGGGACTTGGACTAGAGTGCGCATCAACGCGCATCCGGTCCGAATATACCGCTGATTCGGCTTGGTGTTGGGGACCATAGAAAATCTGTACTTGAAAGGTCGATAGAACCCTATGAGCCGTTTCATAAACTTTGAGCCCTTTATGGCCTCGTCTAGTCTCTTCGGGTTTGTTAGGGGTCCTTCGACAATACGATGAATCAGGTCCCATTTCCACTTAATGTAGTTGACAGTATTCAAGACGTTTGTCTCCAATATCGCATTGCGGAATTGCGTCTCATCCATGGCGGGGCTCAGTCGATCTTTGCCTTGGTCGCCAGACAGAAGTGATGCAGAGATGTCCACATCCACGTTATAACGCCCTGCTCCATTCGAGAAGCCTACCGAGCGAGCTAAAGTTCGGTTTATGCTCTCTATTTGATATATGGTTGAGCTGCAAACGTCGTGGTTCTCAACATCAAACTTGACTGCTGCTGGGAGTAAATGTGGAAGAACTTGGAGTTTTGCGCTGATATGTTGAGGTAAGGAATGATGTGCCAACTTTAGCACCTCTGTCAGAAGTAGTGTAGCTTTTCGCCTGAGTGACTGATCTGTCTCTTCCTCGATGAGATCTGAAAGGGACTGTTCCTGGTTAGAGTATGTACGGAAGGAGAAAGATTCATGAGAAACACACCTCTGAAAGTCCGGCATCAATCAGCGTCGCGAGAATCAAGGTTGAAAAATGCGCGGTCAAATCAAACCTATCATCATTGCTGTCGTAAAATGCGCGAACTGGTTTCGCGTCAGACTCGGATCTGAGGTTAGCAACTCTGCCATACGTGGTGAGTCGGCGGCCTGCGAGAAAAGATGATGACCACGAAGGTGGTTTGATCCTGAGGGCATCAAAAAGTAGTTCCATGATTAGATCTCTTGCCTGTGGATCGGGGTAGTGCAACGATTCTAGGAGGGATTGAAGGGGTTTGGCTTCATGTCTTGCAAGGATTACCAATCCCGGCCATGTTTTAAGCATTGCGGAAATGGCTTTGGCAGACGATTTCAATCGCCCATTATGAACTGAGTCCGAAAGCGAGTCAGTAAATGGTGCGAGTACGGCTTCGAGTTCGCATCCTCCTTGCAGGTGTTTTCTGCTGTGCGGCGTATCGAGAACATGTAGGAAGCTTGCAATCAGACTTTCCGATGCGCCGAAAGTTCCCTCTGCCAGAGCATCATGCAAAGTTGCAAACCCTCCAGCATAGGCGATCAGCTCTGGGTCCTTGACCAAGATTTCAGCGAGGGTCATGATAGATATGTTTCGAAGACGATCCTCTTGATGTTCAGCAATGGAGACGATCGTTCGCACAACAGCCCGCGAGATTTCGTGAACGCCGTCTTTCACATCCAGAAAAGCTCGGACAAACTTCAATGCCTGTTCGCGCTCAATGCTAGCTTTGCTCTCCTTGACTAGAGATAGTATCACTAGCTCATCTGTGTGCAGGGACCGGATGATTTGAAGTGATTTTCTATCAGCTATGGCGTATCGAGTCAAGCGGTATCCAGCCGCTACGACTTCTTTGCTGTCACTTAAGAGCATGACTTGAACGCGCAAGCCGAAAACGGACCATGCGAGATCGTATTTCAGGGTTGGGTGACGCCTAAAGAGTTCGACCAGACTGTTGGCGCGCTCGACATAGTAATCTGGCGCCATCCCTTCAATCTCCAGAGCCTGTAATGTTTCCGCGAGGACGTATGTAGGCGACTCCATCTCCGCCTCAGCTTCTTCCAATCGATCATCGTCAAGGGTGAGGTCGTTGTTGCGGGAGGGCGACCGCCTGGGGCTACCCCGAAAAAGAGACATCGAATAGCGATTCCGCGGAGGAGTTGACGGCGCCTGCGCACGTAGTAATTCCTCCTCGAGCTCATGGTGTAGCTCCGCAAGCTTGCGATTGGACGAGCTCAGTTCTGATTCCACCCTCAACCGTTGATCCTTGGTATGTTTCGGATCCTTGGCCAGAAGTGCCTCAAGCATGTTTTCGGTTCCCGTCTTGATCTTCATCTCTTTGGCGATCTTATCGCGAATCGCAGCCTGGCGCTCCTCGGTGCTCGACAATTCATCCAAATCAACGTTGCTGCTTCCTCGTCGCCTGTAGGTACCATCGGGTCGAGGTGTGACACTCCGCGATGTAGTCATGCTCTTAAGCTCCGAGCTGAAACTACCAGGACCCCCGAGGGAAGGTGCTAAAGAGCCTCCAGAACCTCCCCGAGGGCGGATGGTTGCACTATTTCCAGACTCCGAGCGAACATTCCTCCCAGGTCTTGAAGCGGTCTCGGCCCAGCTGCCATTTGCGGAGGCATCATCATGGCTGGTATACGACCGTCCGTCACCCAGATCACGGTGCTGGTTCGACGTTGCGGAGAAATTTGAATTATATCCGGACGCCATAGATCTCCATTTAGTCGCAAGTGGGGAGTGCGTGTCACCTGTCGCGAGAGAAACAAAGGATGAAGGACCGCATTGAGCTCGAAGGAGGTGAATCAAGAGGGTCTTGTAAACAAAGGCCGGTGGCTTCAGATCGGAATGAGGTGCTGTTTGGAGAATGAGGAGTCCGAAGGGAGGGGAGAGTGCGCCGCGGTCACGGACGGCAGCTTTTCCGTGGGTGAAACAAGACCGTACCGCAAGCTATCCAGATCGGCAGAGGTTCGATGCAGGTATCAGAACAACGGCATCATAATTTCGCTCCAAGGTTTAGAAGTATACTCCAAGAAGGGACTATACTCCCCCTGTTGATGGTTTCAAGCTGGGATCTCAAGTCTTGGCTACCACTGGCTGACTAACTTGGTGACAACCTTATCGCCTAAGGCCGCTATCCTTTTTATTGGCGCTCTGTCTTGTACAAGGGATACCTTAAGTGATAAATGTCGACCTTCTTGGCCCCCTATGAGACTTAATTATTAATTTATGCACCTTGTTTGGCTTGAATTCTAGTGTCTAAATAGACCCTGCATATCTGGGCTGAGAAGGTCTTTTTGGATCAATGCTCTGCAGAACCTTGATGCAAATCTGCTTGGGAATATATACAAGACAAGCTGGCCGGGCGCTCGCTGCCAGCTTCAGCTGCCAGCTTCAGCTGCGCCAATTCAGAATAACAGTCGGTCCGAAACAGATACAACACCCAAGGAGAGTTGTCAATGGGGTTGCGAGAAGCCAGCACAGTAGGAAGCAATCTTGCTATGCTATTCAACTTCCTATTGAATGTTGTGTTACTATTTTCTATTGAAGTTATATGATAATAGGCAGTAGATAGATATATAAGATGCCTCCCACCCGAAGATTTGACCGGCTGCTATCCAAAACTTTTTCTTTTACCTGCCACTAACTCCCTCTCCTGCGAACCATTGTTGTTACGCCTGCCAAGGTGCCTCCCATGCCCCAGTTCGATCGTCAGTTGCAAAGCCCTGGCTCAAAGATGGGCTCCATGACCTGCAAACGCAAGCGAGATGCTGCCTCGACCCGCAAGAGTGCCTCTGCCACTCCCAAACCAAACACCACAGCCGGTTCTGTGGCTGCTGCTGCCAATGCTGCTGAGATAACCTCCACGACTGGCCCCGATACAACTGTTGTCCCGCCTCCCGATGTCGCCCCTGGCGACTGGGCCGATATGGCCATGGACATCACATGCTACGAAGGCAAGCCAAGCAGGGCCATGGAGGCCCTTGGACAGAAGACTGCCGTGAGAGAACCAGTCTGGCGGGCCACCTACGACCCAGAGGAGAGCTTCAACCTGGGCCGTTTCGTTAACTGGGAGGCATTGCAGGTGCAATGCATTGGTGCCGTGACTGCCTCCCCCTGCGAGCACTGCCGGCGTGGCTATGGCCCTTGGGCACAGTGTGTTATGCTCCAAGGCTACCTTCGTGGTAGCTGTGCGAATTGCCATTACAACTCTGATGGCGCTCGCTGTAGCTTCCGCCGTAAGTATCTAACAGTAACACAATATAGTATGCAGCTATATACTGACATGGTACAGCCCCTAAGACTGCCAAAGCTGCTGAGAAGAACACTGCAGCAGCAGCAAGTGTTACGACTGCCTCCGAAGCCCCCAGCCATGCGCCTGCTCCCACCCCCAGTGCTGCTGTCCGTGCTGCTGCCACTGCTGCCCAGAAGCGGGCCAAAAAATTACATCACTTGTGCAGAACAACCGCCATTGCCTGCGACGCGGCCGCTGTGGCCCTAGCTTCAGCTGCTAGGGTCATGTCACACCTTGCACAGGAGTGTGTGGATGAGGCTGGTATACACGAGAAAGTGTACTAGGGGCACACCACAATTAACACTCTCCCTTGTTCCATTGTATCTGATTGGGATACATTTACTTGGCTTCTGAGGAAGTACTCTGAACATGGTCACAATCAAGGCGTCATGGGGATGGATGTAAACCAAGAGGCTCATAAGCACATAGAGCACCATGTGCATCATGCATGACATGAAAATCTCCAAGTGGGCTAGCATAAACAATCAAAATGCTACCATCGCCATTTAAGTGCTGTCATGGCATTCTTCTTAGCTCAAATTTTGCTTGAAACACGATGCTTATCGGACTAAGGCCCGAATATGCCTTGTGCATAAGGCCGTTGGATAGCCATGAAACCAACCAAGCTGGTGGTTGCCAAGGCTTCGACCATTCTTGAAATTTAGTAGTGAGATTGCTTCATGAATAATTCCTCAAAGGAAGACTCCTACAGCCAAGAAGTGACTACTATACAGACGCCTACATGTTCTGATCAACGGAGCATTCACAGAGTGTAATTGAACAAGTTTATGATGTATCATCTATGCCCTCTTTCTGTCGTTCGTGCTTCATCACATCATCCTGGTTTCCCTCAACTTCCCGAATGCGCTTATAGTGTCTGCGTCGCTGTCTTCTCCAAGATCGTCTTCATCATCTCGTTTCCAAGCTTGACTGCGTCAGGGAAACGAGGCGCGAAGTACTGCTGGATTCGCTCGAAGCGATCACGGTAGGATTCGAAATCACCAAATGAAACGCAATCAGACCACGCCTATTAATTGTACGCAATACGTCAGTATCCCAGGCTTTATGAACGATAGTATGAGAAGCCTCCTGCCCCGCGGCATCACTGCGGATAGACCATCGTGCGAGATTGAGTACTTACCCTAGCTGCGAATGTGAACTCTAGATCGTCCGAGCGAAAGGTTTTGTCGTCAATTGCGGTATCTAATGCCTCATCGAGGAGCTTAGGGTTGCGGAATAGATACTCAGTGACTCCCAACCACAAACGGAAGAGCTTCAGAGAGCAATTAGCAACTCAACATGGAACGATGCAAGCAATACATGGTATTAGCGTCACTCACAGGTGTTGAGCAGATCATATGATCGTACGGTACGATGCCCAATTTCGACCAACAATCGACAATTGCAAGGAGACTCAGGTGGTTGTTCGGCGGGTGATTCTCGCGAGGCTGGTTCGAGAGGGAGAAGCGATCGAGGACTTCATCCTTGAGGAGCAAATCCTGGCCCTCAGTACCGTCCTTGAAGACAGCCGCCCCGGCCGCCTTGACTCGACGTTTCAGCTCCTCTCGCTGTCCCCCGATCATCAGTTTATACAGCTCCGTTACGGATTGGGCATAGGTGCGGATCTGTTCCTTTGCAGCCGGGTTGAGGATGGCGAGGCCAGCATAGACGTGCCATTTGTTAGAGTAGATGCGTAATGTGATGTTGATCTTGACGTTCTCAATCCCGCCAACCCAGCGCGACATCTCCCAGGGGAACTGATTGTTTGCCTGCCAAGCCGTTCCCATGCTTAAGAAGGCTGCATGTGTAACAGCTTGGGTATCTGCAGTGATCCGGTCATGCATCTCGCCCGTGAGGTAGACATATTTGGAACCGAACGATGAGAGTACCTCTTCGACGAATCGCAAACTCTCGTCTGAGGCACGGTGCTGAATCAAGACCTAGAGCAAACCCTGTTATTATGCAGGAAAGACTCGCAGTAACACAACGCGTGTCGTACCAGAGGTTGTCCTTTCGGGTTGACCTGGGGTCCATGGAGCGAATGACACGATAAGATTTCTACATCTGGAGGAAGATGCTTCTCGAACGCAGCTAATTCAGGCGCCTTGCAGGATGTTTGGCCGCCGACGATCGCACCGACCTTGGTTGCTTTCCACAAGTCAGAAAAATCGATACTAAGAGTGGTGGAGGTGGTATCCTTTGCTCGAACAAGGACATACATGGCCCATACTGTGCAACTACCCTGTCGATGACTCCAGCCTCTACACTGTATATAATATAATCGCTAATTCTTGAAACCAGGTGTCCATTCGGCAGTATAGTGACACCTTGCTATATATACGATGAGTATGGACAGCATGAGCTGTGAGCAAACGACGTACTTGAGAGGCAAACTCTTCCTTTAGACGATCATAATTCTGAGGCAGATCACAAGCATTTACCCTTTATAAACAGATAGTGGTTAGTGAATTCCAGCCGCTTCAACAGACTTAGTACGAGTACGAGAACCTGAGAAACTTGAGAGTTAGCGATCAGTTGGAGGACAGCAACATCAGAGCTTCGAGAACAAGAAATCCTTCATGAAGGTTTCAGACAAAAGAAATAAAGGTAGCTGAGATTTTACATCATCGACAACCTGACGGTCAACCACAGACCAGAATGGCGAAGCGGTGCAACCGCCAGGTCATGCTCGAGCCAAATGCACTCAAGTCATCATGTAAAAGGAAAAAGAAAAAAGAGGAAAAGAGAGAATGTCTTACCTATTACGAGCGAATGACGGTTGTCAGTAGGGAAAAGTGATGATTTACCTCCACCCTGCCATACTGAGCCGCTGGGCATACATCTTGCCCATGTCTCCCAAACCAATGATGCCAATCATGGCATTTTCCTTGGTGAGGACCATATTGATTCCTAGTTAGCGGCACCAAGCTAATAAATGAGCAAAAGGTGCACCTAAGCCAGTGGACGGGAGAGAATACGAAAATCTCTAGAACCACCAGGCTATGCTGTTTTATTGAAAGAGAAATGAGACCCGAGAAAGATCTGCACTGCTGATGTCTGATTGTTCAAGAAGTGAGAATCTGACAGAGCGGCGGAAAATTTAACTCCTAGCTTAAAAGCTCCTGGCTCACCGCCTACCGGCCCGACTGCTGCCGTCTCACCGAGCACATTGTACGGTTTGTACGGAGTACCTGTTGTTTCTGCCTCAGGCTGCAACTCGCTTGACCGCCGCGAATCAACTTCGGGCCAATCAGCGCGGTGCAACCTTTGTAGGGCACACACAATCTCCACTTTTTCTATCTCGAACTCCATCAGCGTATCTTCATTTTCTCTTCTTCTCTTTCTCCATATTCCATCCCACGACCAGCACACCCAAAATGCCTCCCAAGAAGACAACCACTGCCGCCAAGGAGAACGTCTCCCTCGGTCCTCTGGCCGGAGATGGTATGTTTGAGACAATGCGAAATTTTGCGCATACTGGACTCTAACAGTCGTGTACAGGCAAGCTCGTTTTCGGCGTTGCCCGTATCTTCGCCTCTTTCAACGATACCTTCGTCCACGTTACCGATCTGAGGTTCGTTTTTGTTCTTCGCAACTTTTGGCCTCGTGCGATTGATACCCTCGAAGAGCGATGCGCAATGGGGTTTCCTTAGAGACAAGGAACTAACATAGATTTCCAATAACAGTGGTCGCGAAACCATCTGCCGTGTCACCGGTGGTATGAAGGTCAAGGCTGACCGTGACGAGTCTTCTCCCTACGCTGCCATGTTGGCTGCTCAGGACGTTGCTGCCCGCTGCAAGGAGCTCGGCATCAACGCTCTCCACATCAAGATCCGTGCCACTGGTGGTATGTAGCAAAACTTTCGAGAGGGTGTTGTCAGGGACATGAAGCTAATTATACCACAGGTAACGGTACTAAGACCCCCGGTCCCGGTGCTCAGTCCGCTCTCCGTGCCCTTGCTCGTTCTGGCATGAGAATTGGCAGAATCGAGGACGTGACCCCCACTCCTTCCGACTCTACTCGTCGCAAGGGTGGTCGTCGTGGTCGTCGTCTGTAGACGTGTGCGGGTGTGTCTTTGTCCAGGTTGTGCAAGTTCATTGCATGGCTGGATTGGAGGCTACCGCCAGGGCCTTGTGCCCGCGGATGTGGATGGAATAAACGCGAAGAACGGCCCTTATCGCCTGGTCTTCAATTTTTCTCATGTCCAAAAGTTTTTGTCTTCGGTTCGGGGGGTTCTAATAGTCTGTTAGCCAGTATAGCAGCTATCTCTGCCAATATAACCAGAATTGGAGCATACTCGGGGTTCGTGGTGTAGCGGGATAATTGTAGAAGGTTGATGTGGGTTGCCGTATGAATCCTAGCAGTACTCAGTCTCGTGCATATTTCATTCAAAGTAAAGAAGGCATTCAAAATCAAGTGGCAAATCAGCCTATAATCGATCTGAAAGCTAGATGGAGAAGCAGGACTTGTCGAGGTGATTATTGCTAGCTAGTGCGGGCGGAAGTTCAAATTCGGTAAGAGCTTTGGAGCTATGGCCAATATAGTTCATTCTTTAATCTGTTCACCAACTCATCAAGCGCAATCATTCTACCTCTAGAGTATTCCAGTCCCTGGATCCTACTCACTCTGCCATCTCGCGCCTCTTTGACGTTGTCGAGGACAAGTCCACTGAAGGTCGGTTGATGCCATGAACTGACGTCAAGGCTGAGATCTGTATCCCGGATCACTTTCACGACGGCAGATTTTTGAACGGCTTGAACAGAGCAGTCGCTTCCTGCCTCTCCAAGCAGTCACTGAAAGTGGGCTTACAAGAATCGCGCTGCGTCCACGTCCACAGCCATGCCTCTTCCTCTCTCGCCCTCCCCCACCATCCTCGTCCCCCACCTTCCGCCAAAGACCCTTGTCGGCATTGATCTCGTCACCTTCACATCGACAGTCAACTTTCACGGGATACGAGACCTACCGAATGGTTGGCACTTTTTATACACTGGAACAACAGAAAGCCTTTCTCTGAGATGCGGGGGGTGGTTCTACGTCGGCGATATCAGCGCCTTTGAGGAGAGTCACAATGGGGCCATTGTACCGGCATCAACCAGAAGTTTGGGCTCGGATATTTTCGTCTGGAAATGGAACTCGGAGACAGAAACGCTGGAGCCTCTACGAGCAAACAGCGATGCAGACAGGCAGGAGGCGATGCGGCATAAAGCGAATTTAGGCGCTGTCTGGCAGCGTGGTGGGCTGTTCCGGTACCGCAGTCGTGTCTCGTCATCGCGGACACCACAGTCGCAGTCGCAGTCGCAAACGGAGCAAAAGGGTCCTGTTCAAGAAGACATTGATGAAGTTGATGAGGAAGAAGGCAGAAAAGATTGGGCAGACTTGACGAACAGTATTTCTCCAAGGCTTCTGTCGCGGATTATAGGCCACCCTGAAATGGACGTCGATGGTCGGCCTCGATGGATGGTGACATCTGGTAGCACTGCGGAAAGGGATAGTGATCAGATCCCAGGGCTTCCGGGTCCCAACTCAGAGGATCTAGCTCAGGTTACCGGGGAGCAGGAGAGCGAATTCTCGTTTCTTCCTGTTGACCTGAAGCGCACATGGAGAGAAGGAGCTATTGGACGGGAGAGGACTGAAGCGGCGCAAGATCGTTCATGGGCATTAGGAGACCTGATTCAACGACACTCCAATAGCGGGGACCACGGAGAAAAGACGGGAGAGGCACAGATTCTGGGTGAACTTCAATTCACTTTCTTGATGGTTCTAACATTGATGAACTACTCATGTCTGCAGCAATGGAAAAGACTGCTGGAACTAGTCTTGACCTGCCAGAATGCAATCAAGGATCGCGAGCCTTTCATGGCGAGCGTACTGCGATTGCTTCTGCTACAGCTCAAACGGTGTGATGATGTCGAAGGTGGACTATTCGATATTGACGGACACGAGGGCGGGGAATTTCTGCGCAAACTTTTGATGAAGTTCAGGCGAACTCTATATGAAGTCATTGACAATCCGGGTCCTACGGTGAAGGCGGAGTTCGACAAGCTGGCTACATGGGTCAAAGACGAATACGACTGGGAATTGGATCGCGAAGCATTTGTTCGCCGGGGCATGGTCCAGCTGGAGGATGGCGAGCAAGTTGAGCTGGAAATGAATGATGATGACGAAGACGACGAGACAGGGGAGTATGCTCCCCTCGTCGTCGATCTCGGTGAAGGGAACACGATGGAGGATCTGGACATGGACAATGTGGCTTCGGCATAGGCGAGTATCCTCTGCTTAATGACAACTCTCTGGCATATAATTTCAATCGACTGTTTACACGCCATCACGATTCCTTTTGACCCTGTGCGCCATTCACTTACGCATCTCAAATAAGCGACCACAGGATGAGTGGAAAGACATATATATCAGTTATGTGGCAAAGGAACAGGTTTCCAACATATTCCGATATGGATCTTTCACTCTCTGGGCATGCTACCATGCCCACACCTCATTCAGTGCGAATCAAAACAAGGCATTCAACAGTCATCAGGATCAATCCTCCATGCCGACAAGGAAATTTGAATGGTATTTGCAATTCCAAGAGCTAAGCTCAGCACAAAACTATAGAAAATTGGCATGTTCAGCATGAAAACTCCGTTCTGGCCACCATCCCGCATGCAACCAACACATTGTCACTTTTGAGTCTATGTCTATTGGCAAAAGAAAGGATGCATTCATTCATCTTAATTTTCGACCTCTCCCTCAATCACATAAGACCAATCATGGTTCTCCTTGCCATACATGATGGCATCCAACCAAGATCTGATCTGGGCAGCGTATCCCGCACGCTCAACGCCCGCATCAACCATGTCCATGTCGAGATCGCCGTTCCTGACGAGCTTCACCGGAGTGATAAAGTACTATTTTGCATTAGCGAAAGGATGCGTGAAAGTCGTCGGGTGAAGATTGACTTACAGCAGTGCCGGAGACGAAGGCTTCAACGATGCGTCCCTCCTTCCAGGCTTGCTCAACATTTCCGATGGTAAGCGCCTTTTCCACAACATCAACAGGTGCAAGGCTTCCGACAGGCTTGGCCAATCTCGACCGCGCCAGCTCCAGCACGCTGCGACGGGTAACACCGGCAAGGATGAGCTGGTTCTCAAGGGGCGCGGTGACGAGCTCAAGTTTGCCGGTGTCCTTGTTCTCCCAGACAATGAAGAAATTGCTGGCGCCGGCCTCGGTCACTTGACGGTCCTCCCCGAAGAGCCAGAGGACTTGGTCAAAGCCCAAGGCTTGAGCTTGACCGTGGGCTGCCAGGGAAGGGCCATAGTTAGCTCCGAGCTTCGCGTAACCGAAGCCACCAGGCCAGGCACGGATTGTGTCAGGGTGGGAGGCGAGAAGCTTCAAGCCGGGCTTGGTGCCAGGCTCGACGGGCTTCTTGGATGGGTCAGGCCATGGCACGGCAATGATGAAGAGGAGGGCTTCTTTGGGTGTTTGCACACCCAGATGGGGGCCGCTGCCGATCAAAGTGGGACGAAGGTAAAGGAATCGACCGGGTTGGTCCTTGGGGAGCCAGCCTATTGGAGGAAAAAACAATTGTGTTAGTCCATGTCAAGGATTCTTTCGAAGAAAGGATGCATACGGGGTCCATCGATCTGCATCAACTTGGCGATAAGCACCTTGAGCTCCTCAAACCGGAAGCTGGGCAAAGAAGATCTCTGGGCACTCATGACAAGTCTCTCGCCGTTGCAGTCCGGCCGGAACAGACGCAGTTTGCCATCGTATCCTCGGTAAACCTTCATGCCCTCGAAGCATTCAGTAGCATAGTGCAGGCAGCCAGCGGTCGGCGGGATGCTGAGATTCTCGTATGGTCTGATTTCCGGGGTCTCCCATCCATTGTTCACGGTCCATCTGACGGTGACCATGTGGTCTGTACAGTGCGAGTGACTGAGTTCCTCCGGGGAACCCGGTTCAGGAACCAGACGCAGGTTGGTGGACAGAGTTACGTTGACGGTCGAGGCATCAAGCTCTCGTACTGTCTGCGCCATGGAACCCATGATTGGCCTGGTGGGATGATTGCTGATACGATTTGAGAATTGTATTATCGCAGAACCCAGTTCTGACCGAGGGGCAAAGGTTGAGCGAGGGGTTCGAGGTCAATTGACTTTAAGTTGGGAGTTGTGAGTCACTATCAGATCCGGCGATTGTGCCGAACTATAACAACAGCAGGAACCGACTTGAATCCGCCTGCGATAACGGAGACTGGGGAGATATAAGCAAACGGTGACAGTCTACAGAAGAGAACAACCTGATCTAGAATGAGTCCAGATGATTGTTATTATATTAAATGACCTACTCCATGTTTTCTCCGATTGACAAGAGCCGGGAGGGGCGAAAGCAAAAGTTTTTCTTGCCGAGCGGAGCCAATCTCTGGGACTTCGCCATCGATATCCGCAGCGAGAGAGACGGATCAATTGAGCGGAATCTATTGCGATGATCTAGCCGTAATGTCCTCTGGATGAATCTCTCAATGTGGTTATAGGATGCTTCTAAGAAGATTGTCTTTATCAACATCCCTGTCTAGCCGCTTTCATCATGACAGCAACAAAAATTGCTTCATCGCTTCCCCCTGTCGATGACTCGCAGGAGGAATAAGAACCGCGCTAGTCAACTTCCGGGATCGCGCGACTCCAGGAATGGGCAATATCTAAGCCTTTTGTAGTAGGCGGAGAGACCTTTAGCACTTACCGCCTTCTTCTTTTTTGACGCCGAGCACGGGACGCCGATTCTAGCCGAGCGGCTATCAAGGGAGACGTTTGAAGCCTTATCATTCAGGATTTCAGGCATGTGGTTTGAACACCACCAGTCAGATACCCTTCAGGCATTCACCAAGTGCCAAGATCTGAGATACGATCAAATATTGGAATCGAAAAGGTAGAGGTAGGTGTTTTCTTGCCTTCTACGTCCAAGATGCACGGTGACAATTACCAATGCACCAGACAATGAAAGTGAGCACCTGCGGAAGAACAAAGAAAGCTTATCGCAGACGCTGTTGAACAAGCTTCATGAGTCAGGCTTCTCTCCCAGAAATGTGGAATAGAACTCTGATCGATTTGTTGGTAGTACTAACTCCTGCTTTGGGACAACCTCATGGTCGAACCATGTATCATTCCATCCGGACCTTCCTCTTGTCAGTCGAAACCAAGGATATACCAACTCCCATATCCAGCACAGCGGTACCTTCACCGTCGTACTGGAGCAAGGTGCTCGCCAGAACCAGGTCATGGGGACAGACCTTGATCTGGCAGTGATATTGTGATGAATACCCACGATGTATATTGGGTGTCAATGACGGAGCTGGCAGTGGCTAGCTACTACTACCTGGATACACTAGATGCTGAGGATTAGTCCCATCATCATGTAGTCAGGTAAGTAAAAGTACTGATGAAGAGCGAGCCAAGATAATAGGTAGATATCCAAGCCGTCAAAGGGGTTTGATGTGCATAACCACCTCCTATTCTATGGGTCCATCTGCTCTAACCCATGAAGCAAACATCATATCAGCATGATGTAAGATTCTATATTATCAATGTCCACTGTTTATTATTACTGCTAGGACTGATGTCACATGAAAATCCCCAACTATCAGAGGCCTAAGGATTAGGTGCTAGGTACAACAAAGGAAAAGTTAGGTCAAGAACTGCAAACGTCATCGTCTCCCGTTTCGGTCATCGTCCAGGTAGTCCGACCGTGACTCGTGGACGTATTAGTATTACGAATATGACAATTTGTCTAAAGATTGTAGGACACAGTAAAGAGGAGCGAGAAATACAAGGCCAAAGGGTCGCGTCTTAATGCTTCTTATGAAATCAAATAATATTGATCTTAATTTGATAGATGCGGTTACGTATAGCCACAGCTATGACGTTCCTGTGCAACGTCCACTCAGATTGACGGTGAGCGATATGGACGATCTCTGTATGGATGGTTGCCATATAAATTCTCCATTCTGAGTCCTACTCACTAGTGGTTGAGGTGCTCAGCTGAGTCCTATTATTTTGGCGATCGACTCTACCCTAAGCAACGGGTGAGTGGAATTATGGATCGAATCATCCCTAGATGATCCTCGGTTGTATATCCGTACTCAGATTGCCACGCTCCACAACCTCCACATCGTGAACAAAGCAGATCAATAAAAGGTAAAAAGGCCATCAGACATGGAAGAAGGGCAGCGCTTGGTTGTCATACTGACATCAAATGCGGTGACCTCAACCTAGAGTCAAGGTTAGTGTATATGTGACCATGATACTAATTGGAGAACCCCTTGCACTAGGTGGACTGGCTGGGCTGATGCAAGTCTAGGCAGGATAGACTTGACACTGGACAGACAGGCAAAAGAGTCAAGCAATGAGAATGAACTAACTTGTTCATGTAAGTAGGCTTTGAGCAAGAAAATGGAGCTCGACCCCAACACTATCCATGGCATCTTGCATCCGGTGGTCGGTTCCGCCTATTATTGTCCTGTCAATCTCTCGGCATGGGACGATCCCTTGACTAGCCCGTCACCTTTTCCACGGTTCTCCGCTGTCAGACGGCTAACAGGACCAGCGTCAATCATCTTTATGCACCTGTGAGTCCTGGACATTCCGTCTGCTAGCGCGCGTTGGTTCGCCAAGGCCGATATTCTTGCTCGTGCGTCTATGATCGACATAGTGAGATGCCAAACAAAAAATCCCGCGTCGATATAGTATTGCTGAGTAAACCCCATTGTAGTTGAAAAATTCGGAACATCTGAGGAAGGATTGTGTGTTATCATTTCGGTCCCACAACCAACCAAGGGGATGAGCACATTCTGTGTACCTCAACACATTGAGATGGCGCTTGGTTGTACTCCGTACAGATAGTTGGAATCATGCCGGGCTAGAGGGCCGTCAAAACTGCCAGACGCGTGCCTATAGAGAGGTATGCTTAGCAAGAATGGTGGAAGAAGGACGCGATGATTTGGCGAATTGCAGAGTGGACGGTGAACCTGAAGTTTAAAGATATAGCAGGGAAAAGTTTGATGATAAGCAATTACCTGATGTAGAATGATTGCTTTCTCGTGGTGGTAGATAGAGGTTACCTAGGTATGGTGTAGCCAGATCCCTTTAAAAGGGCTTCTTTCTGGCTGGAGGACCAGAGGCAGTAAGCTCCAAGTATCTGTTCATGGATAGCCCGATCCCTGCACACAAGAGACTGGTTCAATAATCTCAAATAGCCCGTAGCTTCTCCTGTGCCTTACTTTTACCTCAACATGAAAAAGGAGGCTCAATCACTGTGGCACTTCTAGCCTTTGCTCCACATGTAAATTAGTAGTGAGCTCAAACCACGTAAGAACAAGGTCTGATATGCTGCTTATTTACCAAATAAGATGTGCTGATCGAGTGCGTCTTAATTATCTTCCAGCCAATCCAGGACTGTTACCAGCAAGCTGTGTTGAGTATTGGTACCAATACTATGACTATGCTCATCTTTCTGAATTTCCCTCATCCTTCAAATATTGCCACAAGAGTTGCATCGGTCGTAGATGGTAGTTTAGTTCTCTTGTCTTCGGCAAGCTTCCCAGCTTCTGCAACAAAGCTCCTTTACTGCCATACCGACGTCCATACCCCCGAGTATCAGTACGTACGTTCGTCCTGTCGCTATTGCGTTTCGAAAGGATTAATCAATGAAAGCGAGACACGACAACATTTGAGGCCTGGGGCGAACCGTGATCGTCGCGAATGGAGTTCGCCTTCTGTTCCAAGTGAAAGCTGCATGAGTCTGGATGGGTTATACCTGCATAGTCCATTGCCGCCAAGACCTTGTTGTTTGTCAGTATCAATAACATCACATTCCTCTTTTCCGAAGGAGCATCGTCACACGATTGCCAGTTCCTCTATACTGGATCAAAAGAAGAGAAATGGAGTAAGTTGGGCCCCGAGGCCGTCCGCGTCTGCGTCTGCGTCTGCGGTGAGATAGTTTCCTGATGCCGAGAGTGAGGATGTGGCCGGAGATGGCTTCCGACGATCAGGACAATCATCTTCCAACCCTCGCCCCGGGACCACGAGGTCCCATTACGCTGAACACCACAACCGTATCACGGCCAAAGAAGATTTCCACGGCGTGCTTACCATGTAAGCAGGCAAAAAGAAAGGTAGGAGTAGAGGTTTTCTCGGTCAGCTCTTATCGCAGAAAAAAATGGCAAGGGTTGATGAGGCAAGATTGTTTTCGCATCGTTCCAAACTTCCTTTTTGTATTCATTTCAAATACACCAGCTCTTGGCTAATGATCGTTGACTTTTTTGGAATTGCAGTGCAGTGGCCGACCACCGCCTTGTAAATCCTGCAAGAACACAGATGCCGAATGCGTCTTCGACGAGTCCCTAGACCTGAGGCGCAAGGTCGCCGCTAAACGAACCCTCGAAGAATTGTCCTATTACCGGAACTTGCTATACGCTCTGCTTGAGTCACTTCGCCATTCAGATGAGACCGAATTAAGCAGTATCTTGGGCCACATACGCGGTACCCCATCGCTCAACAGCATTGCGGCCGTCGTGGCGGGGCCGACCATAGATCCAAGCGATGTCAGCTGCGAGGACCTCAAAGGTGGTTCTGAGGAGTCCAGCTCGCAAGGTGGCTCTCAGGAACCCGTACACCTCGACACACACTCTCGAATAACCTTGGAGAAGCTTTGTGATATTCCTTTCGTCCAGGTCCCTGCTAAGCCTTGGACAGCCGTCACCGATGACGGTCAGCTCGTTTCGCATCTGGTCTCTTTGTACTTCACATGGGACAATCCACTAGTGCAGATCGTGGATCAGAAGATCTTTGTGGAGCATATGAAAACAGGGAAGACGAACTCGGAGTTCTGTACACCGTTACTGGTGAACAGTGTTCTGGCCATGGCAAGTGTACGATGTCTCCACCACCTCTGTTCAAGGCAGCGTTCAAGGCAGCCTTCAGTTTCTGACTTTGGCAGCTGTATTCGGATTTCCCTGACGTCTTTGCTGTTCCCTTAGAAGTGGCTTCGCGCGGCCGGCATTTCTTTACGGAAGCAGAGAGACTTTGGAGAGCCGAAGAAGGCCAGGCTTCGCTGGCGAATATCCAGGCGGTAGTCCTGATGAGTTATGTGTAAGTCGCTTGCATTGAGCGTTGTTAGAGCCGGAACGGCTGTGACTTTAATACTCCGTGGGTCGAGACGCTAATGTTCCTGATCAGTCTGAAATCTCAAGGGAAGGGTCAGCTCGGCTGGCTTATGCTTAAGCAAGCAGTGCAACTTGCGCAAGATTTTGGGCTCTTCCAGGCATCAAGAACACTACCTCAAAGAAGGTGGTCCGTCCAATCTCAGCGTGTTGCAGCAATCACTGCATGGGGAGTTTATATCATGAACTCGTATGGCCGAGAGCATCCCGTACCGGCATGCATGGCTGATCATTTTTCACAGGCAGGTATCTATGGAACTACAAAAGGTCGCGGCCTTAAGACAACCCAACTCCAACCTGTTCAGCGAAGAAGAAGCTATCGACAAAACCATGTGGAGCCCATACCCCCTTACGAACAGGCTTGATTATGTCAAAAAACCAGGCCGTCTTCGTTATACCATGCTGAAGTTAGCCGACCTGACGCTGATCACGGTGGACATCCAAGAGCTGTTGTTTGAAAAGGTGTTCGAGATAACCGTCGAGCGACTCTGGGCAGCGGCGAGGGGGTTCTTTTCGCGCTTAGAAATGTGGCTCGTAGATCTGAAGGGCGCAATTGAAGATGAAGATCAGTTTATGCCACACATCTTGTTTCTGCGGTAAGAATGAGGTCTGTACCAGTACGAATCAACGAAATTCTCACCCATAATTGCAGGATCAGGTGTCACCAAACAATCATGTCGATGTTCAGCTTCCTTTTGGAGCACATGATGCCTGAACAACCACAAAACTCACCAGATGTCGAACAAGCCACTAAAATTCGACTTCGGGCTGCGAAAGAAATTGGTTATTGTCTGCGTCAGCAGCGTGAGACTTACGGTCTCGAACAAATTCCAAGATACCTGCTCGAGGCCGTTAATGGCAGTTGTCTCGTTTTGGTCACCGACTTGTGCGATGAGGAATCACAAGGATTGTTTTCTGTGACCTGTCAATACCTGGTTGCGTTGAAGAAGAGGCTGACGAAGGTGGGGGAGATGATCGAGAGGATTGAGTCTCTCGTGGGCGCTGACACCTTCGCAAGGGCCGCCAGGTACTCGCATCAGGCTGTAGGTAAACCATCTCCGTTATTCTTTGACGACTTCGAGGTAAGTCAATGTATGAAACAGTAGGGATACTGATGAAGCAAAGGGATAGGTCTAGGTCAAAGTCTTGAATAATGGGCCAACGGGGCGGGACAGGAAGGATGAGGACGGAGACGAATTCGATCTGATGGTCAAGGAGAACCGCAATCAGTAACGAGAGTCATGAGACGGTTAGTGTTTACAAAAGATTCTTGTTATGAGACAGGATGTGTATGCCGAAGAGCAGCCATCATAATGAATTTCAACAAAAACGAAGCATGACTGGCAGTTCATTAGAACGACCAATTGCTGTCAAGAAATTCAATGAACTCTATGACTGGGAGTTTCTTTGAAATGCTCGCTTCTTGGTTACTTGGAGGGATTATTTTCGAGTTTGGTCAAAAACAGGATTCATGGATCGATGATGGAATATGCACGATCTGTTTACTGCGTAGCGGGAGAACCGTGATTGTATCCTGTATAAACTTGCAAAACACTGTGAAAATAGCCAAACTTTTTTGAAAGTACGGTAGATCTAGCATGTAACCGTGGTAGTAGTAGTATCTTTTGAGGAATATTTCTGAATAGCTGAGTTATGTATCTACAAACATGAATCCAATGGCTGACATATACGTTCACACTACTTCCACGTACTGGATAGTGTGTATTCAGGCTTAGATATGGTGCATGTATGATTTAGATATCCGCTGTTATTCATGATGGACCGTTACCAATTGCTGACATGGATATGTTTGGTTTCTGAATACTTGTATTTGATCCAACACCATGGATACCTACACCGGGTATCTATCCACCATATTCTCAAGCCACGATTCTCCGGTATTGTAGGGCCGTCAAGGATTGTTCGGCGGGAGAAAATGTTTTCCCAGGCATTCTCCCAGAATGGCAGCCACTTTACAGCGGGCAGGGCATGGAATTCCAGGGTCACAGGCACTTCATCTGGGGCTCAAACTTGATGCCGAGCGGCTCAAGCGACGGATGGCAATTGCACTCAAGCTGGAAACCCTGAAGCTTAGATTCAAGCATTATTATGCAATGTTTATGGTCACAGGAAATAGAAAGCCCCCACAGTCCTACACAGTAGGTACTCCGTACATACCTAGGTGCCCTCTTACCGCAGTCCTCACATCCACGTCACCCTTTCAAGGTGTCTGTCTGTATCAGCCTGCCCTATGTGTGGTCCTTCACTCGACCAGCTTTGGAGGTGTATCTGGTACTGCGCTTAGCTTCAATGACCTGGTACCAAAATTCTAATGTTATCATAACACACGGGAAGATTAGTTGTTTTCGAGTGGCTGGCTTGCTCTGGGCTCTGCATGCCTATGATTTCCGGGTCTTAGATATGTCACTTCATTTGCATGAACGTTCCTAATTTGGAAAGATAACTGGACCAGACTCGACGTGGTAAAGGGAGACAAATCACGTGACTACTTCAGCATAGATGCATAGATGACTCAGCCCCTTTACTATGCAGAGATAAGATAAACACAAACCTCTTCAAGCGAAAACCCTCAAAATTCGACGCCGCCGAAACAATCGAAATCCCACACGCCGACGTCAACCAGCAACGCCGAACCACGTATCTCCCTCCGCAGCTCTCGCTTGCCGACCGGTTCCGATACGATCTCACTGGTTATTTTCTCGTTATCGGATCACCTCCAGAGTCAATATGTCGTACGAAGAGCGCGTCAATGCGCACCCTAACCTGGGCGACGAGTCCGATGTCGAGGAGGAGGCTCTCGTCAATGACTACCGCGAGCAAGTGAATTTTGACGATGGCATGAGCGAGCTGGAGCGGACAACATCTCTTGGAGCTGGTTCCCAAACGCAAGATCTCCAAGCTCAGCTTGCCGCTGCTGCGACCCCGCTTGAATACCAGGCCACTCTCGAGACCAAGTTCGCGAGCTATGACAACTACTGCAGCCTGTTCCACTACATCCTGAACTCCGAAGGTCCTGTCGAGCTGGAGGTTCCCTCTGTATGTCTTCATTTCTATCCCAGCTTGCCCTGAGGAAGCAAATTTCCACGGGGCTCGGTGTCTTTTTTCTGTGGTTTTGCCAATGTCATGCCATGGCCGCTGTTGAGACAATTGCTAACTGAGTACTCTTATTTCTTTGGTTTAGTACTACTGGGCCTGGGATGTGATCGATGAATTTATCTACCAGTTTGAATCGTTCTGCCGCTACCGTAATCGTGTTGCCCGTAGCGGCTCCAATGAAGAGGAAGCACAACTCCTGCGCGAGAACCCAAACACATGGGGCTGCTACTCTGTCCTCAACGTTCTTTACTCTCTTATTCAGAAATCGCAGATTAACGAACAATTGGCTGCTATCAAGCGTGGAGACGATCCGATGGCATTCGCTGGTGAATACGGCTCCCGCCCTCTGTATAAGATGCTGGGATACTTCTCGATCATTGGTCTACTGCGTGTCCACTGCTTGCTGGGAGACTTCAGCCTTGCTCTCAAGACCCTCGATGACATTGAGATGAACAAGAAGGCCATGTTCGCTCGCGTCATGGCAGCCCACTTCACCACTTACTATTATGTGGGTTTCTCGTACATGATGATGCGTCGTTACGGCGATGCCATTCGCATGTTCAGTCACATTCTGGTCTATGTCTCGCGGACCAAGAACTTCCAAAAGGGTGGCAACAGCTATGATGCCATTGCTAAGAAGAACGACCAGATGTATGCTCTGATCGCTATCTGCGTGGCTCTTCACCCCACTCGTCTGGACGACACCATTCACTCGGCTCTGCGTGAGAAGTACGGTGAGCAGCTCATTCGTCTCCAGCACGGTGGTCCCGATGCCCTTCCTCTGTTTGAGGAGCTCTTCCGCTCCGCCTGCCCCAAGTTCATCAGCCCAACTCCCCCTGACTTCGACAACCCGGCTCTTAACATCGACCCCGTCGATCACCACACCGCTATTTTCATGGACGAGGTCAAGAACACCCTATACAACCCTACCATCCGGTCGTACCTCAAGCTCTACACGACCATGGACCTGAAGAAACTTGCCGGTTTCCTCGAGGTCGAGCCCGAGGTGCTCCGCTCTTGGCTGCTGGTGAACAAGCAGCGCAGCCGTCAGGTGCGCTGGGTTGAGGGTGGCCTGTTGGAGGGTGAGCCCGTCAACGTGAACGATCTCGACTATGCGCTGGAGAACGACCTGATCCACGTCAGCGAAACCAAGGCCGGCCGCCGTCTGGTGGACTGGTACCTGAGAAACCTGGCCAGAGTTTACTAGATGGCCACCTCCTTTCACTCCGAACCTCTGCCTGTGGCTTTGAAACGAGATATGCTTCATATCAGTGCATAGGATATGTGAGGCATTCAACTGGACACCGAGCTGTCCAGCGGCAACGCCTCGACCGCTCCAGGAGTTATGAAAAGCCAATCAGGGGCTAGAGGTTGCAGCTAAGAGTGGTCAACGGGAATAGGGCATTGAATAACCCTAGTCTCGAAGTGATGCCATTCATCCTTCCGTGAAGGGAAACAGAGGGTGTAAAAAGAGACAGTAGGGCAAGGATTAGCCCCTCTTATGATGAATTTGTTCTGTGTCCACTTTTTTCTTCATCTTCATTGTCAGTTCTTGTTTGTTTTTAACAAGCTGTATCTCAGGTTTACGGCCTTGATTTGCTCGGGACACGGGTTCGGTCGCGATCAAAATGAGTTTAGATGGTTGATTCAGGGGCGTAAATGTTATGTTTATGTTTCTCTGATTCCTTATTATACGGTCTATGCATCATGCTTGCAAATAAAACAATGTCTCACTTCAGTAATGGTTGCTCGAGATTGGCACGTCGAGGCTTCAGAACTTGCACATAATAAATATAAATTTCGCTGGGGTTCAACTGTCGCAGAAGATTCGATGGGAATGGAAGCACTGGTCGTCACCCAAATGAGAAGTGGGGTATAGTATATATTACTCTATCCGATAAATGTTGTGATATACATTGAAGAGAATGCGTAATGAGTCCTGATATATCAGCATCCAAAAGCTTGTCAGGGAGGTTTTTAATCCTTGACATCGAAGCTCGTTCCGCAACCGCAGTTGCTCGTGGCCCGCGGATTATCAACAATCTTGAATTGACTGCCAATAAGCTCCATGGTATAGTCGACTGTGCTCCCGGATAAGAGTTCCAAAGAGGGTTCATCCATGACCACCTTTGCTTCGCCGGGCCCCGAGGTCGAGTCCTGTTCGGGTTCCGCTTCAAACACCGTATCTTCCTCGGGGTCAATCTTCGAGGCTGCCTCGAGAGACATGAGATACTGGAAGCCGTGACAGCCTCCGCTGGTAACTGTGATCCGAAGATGGTGGTATGGGTTCTCCTCCTTTGTTGCCGATGGGGAAGAGGATGGATCGGTGATTTCTCGAAGACGCTGGCCAGCAAGTCAGTACTCCTGAAAGGTGATATACTCCTTGGACAAGAAGTAGAAAAAAAGGTAATAAGATGATCAGGAAAAACTGAGAATAAGCCAAAAAAAAAAAAAAAAAAAAAAACATACAACAGCCGGGATTCGCTGGTGGTCACCCACCCAACTACTAACCGGCCGGCGTGTGGCTTAAGCACGGCTGAGCGGACGGGAAGCCCTGTTTTCCACACCCTATGGTCGTATGTGCTGGATTTAGGACCAAGGAGTCTTATAACTCGGTGATGCAGCTGTTCTCCTCCTGACAAAGCGCTCTGATGCATGTAAAATCCCAAGCAAGCCACGGCAGACGGTACCCTTCATGCTCTGACGCACGATTTCCGCAAAGAAGGAGAGAGGCAATTCTAAGAAAGTGTTCCAACATACCTCCGCTGCCCGAGGCGAAATATTGATCATCAAAGTATTCCCTTCATCGTCCACCCTCGGATTCTGTACAACTTTTGCGCTCGGCCGAGCAGTTGATGTGGAGAAGGCACAACGATGTCGGTAACTCAGAGAACGTCTTGTGGAGGGGATTCGGAACGAAGGATTTGTCGTAGATGAAATGAAAGAGCTCGAAATAGACCGAGGAATAGTAGCACTGCAGGAGGAGAAAGGCGCGGACAAGCGACAGGCCGAATTCGATGCTCTGCCGGATGTGAAGCGTACGACCGCCACTCCAGACATGTTTTGGCGTCGCGATAGCCGAAGAGCGGCTGAGGATATCGCTGGCCGAGACATAATTGCAGTAGATTTGAGGGGTTCGTCAAGATCTTTGTCGGACAAGTCTCATATTATTTTCGAGTCCTGCAAATAAGGCAATGCTTGTCATCGGCAGGCTTGATTATATATCCTGCAAACACCTTAAGTTTCCGGTTAGTCAGATGGTTCCGCATGACGCCATTGGTCGGTCCTGTCGGTAAGCAGCGGCAGAATAATGATTTCAGCCGACGATAATCGTCATGGAGGGGTGACAACCATGAGGCTCAACTAACAATTCTGCTATAACGCGCCGTTTGAGCTCAGTTTCGAGACTGACTACATCTTGCAGTAAACCATAATATCTTGGTGAGGTATACTTGACATCTTCACTCACGCAAAGTTCACGCAGAATGGGTTCTCGACTACATGTTCGGGAAATCCAGAGCGGACCCCCACTTCCTTACCCAGATGATATCAGGGCATTTTCCAAAGCGTATGCAGAGTCACTGGATGCAAAAGACCCTTTGCATCATTTCAGAGACGAGTTCATCATTCCGTCAAAAAAGGATTTAAAAAGAAAGACTCTGATTCCCAACAATGGTATGTATGTATGGCTTTGTATAGACTCCGCATTCGCTCCGCTAATACAAGCTGTGTCTGCTTCCATGTTGCAGAAACTGAAGAGACCTCTGATGAAAAATGTATTTACCTCTGCGGCAACTCACTTGGACTTCAACCTCGTAGCACCCGGAAATACATCGAATATTACCTTCGGACATGGGCAACCAAAGGTGTAACCGGTCATTTTGTCCCGCATGATGACCAGCTGCTTCCTCCATTTGTTGATGTCGACAAGGCTGGATCCAAACTCATGGCCCCAATTGTGGGTGCATTAGGAAGCGAAGTAGCAGTGATGGGCACGTTGACGACCAACCTGCATCTTCTGATGGCCAGCTTTTATCGACCCACTCAGGAAAGATATAAGATCATCATCGAAGGCAAGGCATTTCCGAGTGATCATGTATGTTTTGTGAAGTCGATCTTATCCTCGACATCATGCGGCCAAAGCTAATAGAAATTTGAATTAGTATGCCGTTGAATCCCAGATCATGCATCACAATCTCGACCCAAAGGATGCCATGGTCCTTATAGATCCAGAAGACCTCGATCGCCCCACTCTGGATACCGAATATATCCTCCGGGTCATCGATGAGAATGCATCGAGCACTGCTCTGATTCTTTTATCCGCAATCCAATATTATACTGGGCAATACTTCGATATTAAAAGAATCACCGCTCATGCCCAGTCTAAAGGTATTCTTGTTGGCTGGGACTGTGCCCACGCAGCAGGCAATGTTGACCTGCAATTGCATGATTGGAACGTCGATTTTGCTGCTTGGTGTAATTACAAGTACCTCAACAGCGGACCTGGAGGGATGGCAGCTTTGTTTGTGCATGAGAGGCATGGCCGAGTGGACTTGGAACAGGCCCAATCTGGGAAGGAGCCTTACCGTCCGCGGTTCTCTGGTTGGTGGGGAGGGGATAAGGAAACTCGTTTCTTGATGAACAACCGTATGTTGATCTCGCCGATTCCGTTGTGTTTCATATTGAATTTCTGACATTCTATGACCAGATTTCGTGCCCCAGCAAGGAGCGGCCGGGTTTCAGCTATCCAACCCATCAGTCCTGGATATGAATGCAGTAGTGGCATCATTGGAATTGTTTAATCAGACCTCGATGGCTGAAATTCGCAAAAAGTCCTTGAATCTCACGGGATACCTGGAACACCTCCTGCTCAGCTACTCTCAGAACGCGAGATCCGAAAAGAAACCATTCAGCATCATCACTCCCTCAAATCCAGCAGAGCGTGGAGCTCAATTGAGTATACGTCTCCAACCAGGCCTTCTCGACAGTGTCCTTGAATTGTTGGAGGAGAGTGCAGTAATTATAGACGAGAGGAAACCAGACGTCATTCGGGTTGCACCGGCACCTCTGTATAACACGTATGTAGAGGTGTGGCGATTCGTTCAGATCTTCCATCTTGCCTGTGATAAAGCGCTTCGTGCTCGAGGGTAACATAGCAACACTGTGATGGCAACAATGTTTGTTACGAGCCAACTGATATACATACCTTGACCGATATATACAGCATTGAACATCAGGAACATTATGAAGCATAGAATTTCGGTTGCTTTCTTATTGTTTCTATTTTGAAGATATTCATGAATATACAGTTCAACCGAAAGCAAAATAAGCCCGTTCCAGAGGTTGTCGTTCCGACTCCCAAGCAAGCCAATCTGATCTCGTAGTCCTGTTTTGGAATTTCGTATTAGTAAATCTGCGAGAGATAAAGCAAAACTAGATGAGTACAAGGGTAATAGAACATACGGCAAAAGTCCCATGGCATTAACCTTCCAAATTCCCAGTCCCAGCAAAACCAGTTGCATCAGGACATAAACAGCCTTCACTCCGATCAACTTCCCGCGGATCCCTTCGGTGTCAAACTTTGCGAAGACAGTATCGGTGTTCATCAACCCCTGTATGGGGCCTTTGAACAACATGAAGACCATCATGATACTGAAGATCTGAAGACTGTTTCCAGACATGTACATCATGATCGCATTCATGGGGATCTGCTTCGAAGGAGCGAGAGCAATCTCCCATGCCTTTTTCAGCTTTAGTGTATCGGTTTCGTCAGGCTTAGCGGTGCTGGAGGTAGTTGATTGCTGCTGAGCACGCTAGATAACACCACAGTTAGTTTGCTTCGAACCATGATCGCGCTCACTCAGATGATTCTATCTACACATCGAGAGTAACTCACGCCCTTGCCTAGCACTTTGCTGCTGGAGAATCCTGGAGGATCAGGGATACTGGATGCCGCCTTGGTAGGACGCGGCATAGGGGTGTTCAGCGCAACCACCCAATGCGGCGGTGGTGGAGGATTGAAAGGTTTGGACGCCATGCTGGATGACTTGGCGCAAGGACAAGGTAAGCGCCGTCCTCTTGAAGCCAAAAAGTGTACGTGTCAGGGAGACAGTCGAGTTGAAGCAAGTTTGCAAGCGATGCAGGTTGATGACCGGGACGGAGTTCATCTAATCAGTGGTCAAAACTCCCCACAAGCACGCGGAGCTGGCGGCAGCCGATCCACTGCTGATTCCCTGAACCATTCGACGGATCCAGAACATTTAAACCACAATGATACCTATTTGACACCGGTAATCTCATTCTCTTATTTTGATTCTTTGTGTCCATTATTACTTGATATTCCCGACGGCGCAATATCCCACGCCAAATCCAGACTTGATTTCAGCGAACTCTTGAGCGCCCGCCATACAGACAGTTTGTGAAAACGCCCAAGGACCACGACGATTTTTAAGGTATGGAGGCCTTGAAGGAGCAGAGTAGCTGAAGGGAAATTGCACCGCTGCCTGGAAATTATCCTCCCTTTTTCTGAATCGCCCTTTACAAAATCCATGTGAATCCGCGATCGAAGCCGGGTCCAATCCTCACACGGAACGTCTGCAGACTTGAAAAGAGCTAAGGAGAGACTCTCTATTTGCCCGTCCGCAAAGCCACACGCCATGAGTTCCAGCGGGGGTGATGCGAAGCTGTTCGCTAAGGTATGTTTATCTGCTTGCTTTGGTGGTCATCGGACCTATTCAGATAATGGATGGGCGATCAAGCACTCCATTATTGCATTGCCTTATCTGCCCCCTCTCCCCCCCCTCACGTCGAGTCTGTCTTGAGGCGTCGTCTAATCGACGAACTGGCTGGTATTCTTGCCCCTTGTATCCTTCCAGAAGCCCGCTTGCCGTTGTATAGTTTGCTTCCATCACATTGCTTATCTACTTACATGATTCCAAACTCGATATATCACATTTCCCTCTATGTTCATCGCCGTGCTTCCTTATGCGACCAACTATGGCTTACCATTTTCTCCATCTTCACAGGGCAAAGTCGCCGAGTTGCGACAGGAGCTCAATAGCGGCGGCAAGAAGGACAAGAATTTCTCGGCGAAGAAAATTGCGCTCAAGAAAATCGTTGCCAATATGACCATGAGCAACAATGACATGGTCGCCTTATTTCCCGATGTGATCGGTTGTATGAGCTTGCCCAGCCTGGAGATAAAGAAGATGTACGTCCCTAGGGAGGAGCGCGGATACAAGGTGCAGGCGCTAACAGACGACTGACTGTTCAATAGGTGCTTTCTTTTTCTGGTCAATTACTCGAGGATGAAGCCCGATGTCGCGTTGAAGGCGCTGCCCATATTGGTAGATGTATGGACGACTGTGTATTGATAAATGCTCTTATTGATAAGCTAACATCAGGACTCAGGATATGGAAGACTCGAACCCGCTTGTGCGTGCTTTGGCTTTGCGAACCATCTCATATGTGCATGTTCGCGAATTCGTCGAAGCAACTGTTCAGCCTCTCAAACGTTTGATGGGGGACATGGACCCTTACGTTCGCAAAACTGCAGCGTTTTGCGTCTCAAAGCTCTACGAGCACGATAAGAAAATGGTTGAGGGTTCTGATCTCATTGATCGGCTCAACCGAATGCTCAAGGATGAGAACCCAACCGTCGTGTCGAGTGTGCTTGCTTCTTTGACAGATATCTGGGGACGGAGTGAATCGATATCCCTGACGATTGACTATGCAAGTGCCTCAAAACTTGTTTCTATCCTACCAGACTGTTCCGAGTACGACGATCTGCCCTTGATTCTTCCGTATGCCGTGTCCGCACTACTAACAATTAACTAGATGGGGGCAAACCTATATCCTTGATGCTTTGATGTCATATGTGCCTCAGGACTCAGCAGAAGCACTCCTGCTCGCCGAGCGTGTAGCTCCTCGCCTTTCCCACTCCAACTCCTCTGTCGTCCTCACGTCAATCCGTGTCATCCTCTATCTCATGAATTACATAGCCGAGGAAAGGCACATCACTTCTCTGTCGAAGAAGCTGTCACCGCCTCTCGTTACTCTGCTATCAAAACCTCCCGAAGTGCAGTACTTGGCTCTCCGTAATGCCATTCTCATTTTACAGAAAAGACCCGAGGTTCTACGGAACGACATCCGAGTATTTTTCTGCAACTACAATGACCCGATTTATGTCAAAGTCACCAAACTCGAGTTAATATTTATGCTGACCACGAAGGAGAATATCGGCATTGTGCTAGCGGAGTTGCGAGAGTGAGTTCAATGCTCCCCGGCCATATGTCCATTGACTAATTCGGAACCAAGATATGCGACCGAGATCGATGTTCATTTCGTGCGAAAAGCCGTTCGTGCCATTGGGAAACTGGCCATCAAAATTGAATCTGCAGCACGGCAGTGCATCGACACTCTCCTGGAGTTGGTTAATGCCAAAATCCCTTATATTGTGCAAGAGGCGACTGTTGTCATTCGGAATATCTTTCGCAAGTATCCCAACCAGTACGAAAGCATTATCAGCAACGTCATTCAGAATATCGACGAGCTGGATGAACCAGAAGCAAAGGCAGCCATCATCTGGATCATTGGGCAATATGCAGACCGCATTGAGAACTCAGACGGACTGCTACAGGATTACCTGGCCACTTTCCACGATGAGACGGTTGAAGTGCAACTCGCCCTTTTGACGGCTACCGTCAAGCTGTTCATCCAACGCCCTACCAAGGGTCAACAGCTCGTACCTCAAGTACTAAAATGGTGCACGGAAGAAACCGACGACCCGGACCTCAGGGATAGAGGTTACATGTACTGGCGTCTACTGTCGACCGACCCGGCTACCGCGAAGCAGGTCGTGATGGGCCAGAAACCCCCCATCAGCGCAGAAAGCGAGAAGCTGGATTCGCGGACCCTGGAAGAACTCTGCTTGAACGTCGGTACGCTGGCAACTGTGTACCTCAAACCAGTCCAGCAAGTTTTCCGCTCTGCGCGGACCCGACGCTTGCAGTACAGCCCTGCCCTGCAGAAACCCCGAGACGAGAACGGAAATAGTGTTTGGCAGTTTCTGACACCCACGGGTACGGATCCAGGCACTCTCGCCAATCCATCACCGACGAACGGTTCTGGTGCCGGAGCAAGCAGCATGAATGCCACCGTGAGTGCGGCAGACATGTACTTCAACAACGTCGGAAGCCAGCAGATGGCGGCACTCGACCTGGGTGGTCGAGAAGATGGCGGTGCTGGCGGTGGTGGAGCCTCGCAAACTCAATACGTGGTCAACCAGAACCAGCAGCAGGTGTACCAGCCTCAGCTGGCTGGAGGGGCGGCGACAGGCGAGTTGCTATTGTTGTAATGTAGAATAGATCTTTTCGATACTTCTGTAAGAAATGTTTTTACACTTAAGTCCAGCGTTGTCGGCTGCGGGCATTCGTGATACCTTTATAATCCAAGCGTTGCATTCTCATACCTGAACTCCGCTGTGTCGCTTTCATACCGATAAGATATTGATTTTGAACTTTGTCGTGGAGGAGGAACTGATGCGCAAGGCTCAAAAGTAATTACTACGTTCTCAATCTGGTGGGCAATGAAAGTGAAGCTTGGTTTGATGCAAAGTCCATGGTATAAACCTATTCAACAGTAGCCGCTTGAAACTAATCTCATGCCCGATGCCGAACTTGAACGCCAGAGAGAAACTCCCAATGCAAAATAACCAGTAAAGAACGGAGAACATAAGTGATGACAATGCTCAAGACATGACATGGCGTCCGTTAATCCTCCATCTTTGTCAAGCCACCACGACTGCGTCGAATCCGATCATCCAGATTATCTTCCTGGAGCTGACGATGGAGTTGACCAACAAAGCGGCCTCGTTCAGACCGCTGCTTTTCTTCTGCCTCGCGTTCTTTCTCTTCCATAGCAGTGACCTCGGCAATGCGCTGACGGCGCTTTTGTTCCATCTCGTCTGCTTGGGACATCATCTCAGCCAGCCTTCTTTTGCGATCCTCTTCCAGATCCTTTTCTTTGCTATCAGCAGCTTCATCTCTAGTATTTAAGGCCCGTTCCCTATGATTCGATTCTCTGGGTCCCTTGTTATTTTTCCTGTCGTTGCCTCGGTAGGATGACTCTGTCCGATCAGGGTTTCGAGAGTCTCTGTGATATTCATTGCTCCTGTCCTCTGTCCGGCGTCTATCGGAGTACCGATTATCGCGTCGAGGGGATGGCGAACGATCTTGATGAGATCCTCGCCGAGTGGAGTGGTCATATCGGTCATCACGGTTTTTGTATCTGCTGGAATGACGCTCTTCGTCTTCCCTATCTGCTCTGCGGTCTCTCTCGCTCCGACGATCATCCCTCGAATCACGATCTCTGCGCTCAACTCTGCGATCCTCCCGCCTATCTCTCTCATCTCTGTAGTCTCGATCATCCCCTCGTTTCCTGTCGGACCGCTCCGGCGACAGGGGCGACCGAGACCTATGCCTATGTGATCGATGGTGGTGAGAACGGTGTGCGTCCTCACCTCCATGTCTCGAGCGTCTATGGCTGCGATCCCGATCCCGACTCCGATCTTGGTCACCACGGTCACGACGGCGTTCCCTATCCCTATCACGATCCCTGTCACGGTCCCGATCGCGCTCGCTATGCCGACTCCGTCTCACCGATTCCTTCACCATATTCTCATAAGCAGCCTGCTCGCGTTTTTTGATCTCGAGCAACGGATCCGCCATGACCTTCGCCATAGTGTCACGGGGGTTATTCACAGGTGGCGGGGCAGCATTAGCCGCCACGACATCTGTCCCCTTCTCCAGCTTCTTGCTCTCATCATTTTTGAGTAGAATTCCATCAATACGGCGCTTGCCTAATAGGTATCCCTCCATCTCTTCGGCATAGTGACCTGTTGCACTCGACGGCGCCTGGTACATCCAATCGACCCGATTCTGCTGGCGAGATTTCCCCGAAGCTTCGTGCAAGCGCTGTAGTTCTTGAATTTGGCGCTCTTCTTCTCGTTCACGTCGGAGTTGATCGATGCGTTTGCGTTCCTCGAGAGCTCGTTTCTCTTCCGCCCACACGCGCTCCTGATTGCGGAGTAGGGACGGATGCCATGATCTGAGATGTTTTGTGAGTAAGAGTGATGCAAAAGAAAAGCATAGTTCGGGCAATAGAAATGAAGGCACTTACTTCTTCAAATTCAGGTCGCCACCCATTTTGACAATGATGATGCAGTCAAACTGCGATGGTTGTGGGGGAAGATTTGGTGAAGCTGTTGAAGATCAGGAAATCGGAGTTGGGCTGAATGCCTGAATAGGAAACGACGGAAATCAGGTTGCCACCGTTGTTGCTGCCATTAATCTCAGGCATCAACATCAGCAAACCTGAAGGGCAACAGGACATTACTATGTCATGTAAGATATGATATGTCATTTGAGTGGAAATTAAGCAGTAATAAATGACCACTAGAAGCACTTCATAAACAGTTTAAATGGAGACAAAGCATTAGTAGATACATGGAAGCAGAAAATAAATGGCTCGAAAGTGATCAAATAGTTGGCGAAGAAAACCTGAGAACCGTAGGCAGCTAATGAAGCAGCTCCCTGCCATCCATGTACCTGAAAAAAGAAAACTAAACATGTACCCGAATCGACTTGAAAGCTTAGGTGTCTGCTCAACCGCCTGCGCTTTCGTGGATCTCCTGTTGAATAGTAAAGGATGAAGGAGATAAGGCAAGGACAGAAGAGGTCATATTTCCTCCCATACACGTAACACATACAATGTTCATCTTCGGTGGCTGTCTGTATATCTTCAGCAGAGAGTGTTTTTCAACTCACAAAGGGTCATGGCCGCGCATTCTCAACTCTGCCAGCCCACCCAGGTTCGAGGCATAACTCGCCACACCTTGCATTCTCCACTTCGCAGATCATTGAGCTTGAAGCTCTCTACCTTCACCCTTTTGCTTTCTCTGCCTTGTTCCCACGCGCGGATCTTCTTCTTGGTACCATCCCAGTCAACGACAATACCGACATGATCCGGTTTACCGACTTCAGCATTGTATTTCTGGTGCATCGTGCCTCGGTGGCCTTGGAACCGCGCGTTGCGAAAAGTGACGATGTCTCCAGCTCGGATCTCGTCATTCTGTTGCACCGATGCATTGGCCAAATTTGCATAAACCAGGGCACCAAAGGCGCGTGTACCGACAGGGAGGAGTGCATCTTTCAATGGACTAAGCAAATGCTGGACCAAGCCAAACGGGGTACCATCTGAGACAGTTGTATTCTGAATAGCATTCACAGCATTGGAGATACGTGTACCGAATTGCGTATGCGCATTCTCAAGCTGGTCCTGGCGCGGCTGTAGTGGCGGAGGTTCGTGACGTTGCTCCAAGGACACATCCGAAGGATTTCGGGCATCAAATGTCACTGTGATCACAGTCTGCGAATAATCCATGAACAGGACATAGACGTCTTTGGAAATCGTGGTCTTTCCGCCCCGCTTGGTGGAAGTGGACTCCTCCACTTCAAAAAGAACATCCTTCCGATTTTGGAAAACAGGCGGAGGGGTGTTAGGCTGTGCCCACCAGAGAGAGCCTTCTGCCAGATCCACATCCATAGCAATAAAGCCTTGATCAATGGACGGACGAGACGCATCCATAGATCTCCGCAGATTAGGCTGGCCCCTAGGAATGTCTAAAGATGCGCGATTACTTCGTGGGGCCGACGGTGGTGGCGCGCTAGGCGGCAGAGTGGGAGGGGGCACATAAGACGCTCTCTTTTCCAGAGGCGGAGCTGCTGGTCTCTCCGAAGGGCTTTGCACGGGAGACGCGTCGTACATGTCTTCAGAATCATCTTCAGCAGCCTGTGAAGGAGCCGCCGGGGGCGAATCTGGGCGGCCAAGAGGCACAGGTGGTACTCTCGGTGCGGGCAAGCCATGCTGAGGGGCAGAATAGCGGTATGGATCATATTCTTCTTCCCCTCCGAAAGACAGCTCTCGGTGAGGAGGCGGCGGCGGAGGTCCTCTAGGAGACTCAAGAGAAGCGCCTCCGCTGCTCTTCGGTGGCTGGATGGGTGGAGGCGGTGGAACGGCTCTGGGTGCAGAAGGAGGTGGCGGAGGAGGAAGGCGGGCCTCTTGAGGGCTTCGTGGAGACTGAAGAGAATGATCATCGGTTATAGTACCTTCGTCAAAGCTAGAATCGCGGCCATGAGATTTTAAGGCATCTTTGAATTTGGCCCCAGATGCGATATCCGTATCGTAGTCCCCATCATACTCCGTGACTTCTCCTTCGAGTTCTTCACCAGCTTGGCGAGGTTGCGAGACTGCGCTTGCTCTGCTATCGACAGTTGATCTACGGCGGATGTTGCCAGGAGGTGGCGGAGGAGGAGCCCTGCCCTGGGACTGTGGTGACATCGGTGGATTTGTCGGGATTGGCGGAGGCGCGCGACTCAATCTCTTCTCCGAGGGAAGAGTAGGAGACTTTGGAGAAGTCGGGTCGTAGGTTGAGGAGCGCCGCGAATCGAGATGGTCAGGAAGGGGAGGAGCCGGAACCGACGGAGCAGCTGCAGGCTGTTCCTGTTCCGCTTCGGTGGCATTCAAAGAGAGATCCTTAGCACGTACAGAAAGTTCGTCGTCCGACTCCTCACCGAGATCAGCAGAAGCGGGAGTTTTCGGAGGAGGAGGGACAGGTCGAGATTCTCCTAGGTGTCAGCGCTGCCTAACTCAAGATATAGGAAGCCATAATCATTAGACTCACCACCTGGAACAGCCGGTGGAGACAGTGGCCGGTCCTGAGGAATTGGAGGCGGGGCGGGTCGCGTTTCTCTCGGCGGAGGCGGGGGTACTGGACGCTCTGTAAGATGTAAGTGATGGTCCAAAATTGCCTGCGATCCTCGTCAGCAGGAGAACAAGAACGCGTACCCTGAGGTGCGGCCGGCCTGTCATCAGGAGTGCGACGAGAAGGCTCCTCCTCCACGACGTCCTCTACATCAGGAATTTCCTGAGGAGGATGCTGTTCGATGAGGGAAGCAGACTGAGGCACTTCCTCTTCCTTCTCTACGCTCGGAGAAGCCGCTGTTGGTCTAGCAGTGTTCATTCCCGGCAATGCCATCACGGGGACTGGTGGTGCCGCTGCTGGAGCAGCCCGATCTGACTCTTCCGTCTTTTTCTCTGTCTCCGTAGCCGCCTTTGTTTTGCGAGGTCCTGCGGCCGGAACAGACATCCCACCAGGAGGACCAAAGAACCCCATCATACCCATACCGCCGCTCATCTTGGCCATTCTTTCCCTGAGCTCCATCCTACGTTTGATTTCGGGGTCAATCTCTTCCTCTTCCTCTTGTTCGTCACTCTCCTCTCCGTCGTCCGGTTCACCCTTGTCGCTAGCCTCCCTCTTTCTCTCAGGCTCCGGTGCTTGACGAGTCTCGGCCCGAGAGCGATCTTCGAGGTCCTCTTTGCTTGTTGAAGTCTCTTCCGCATCCTCAGTATCAGCAGCGGCGGAATAATCAGCGTCGTTGGCATCACTAGCCAGCTCTGGTCCAGGCGGGGGCGTTGCTAACTGTCTCTCAGGGAGGGGGGCAGGCTTCACCGTCTCGACACTGTGATCCCGCGCCGAGGGAGCTGCACCAGAGCTTTCATGCTCCTGTTCTTCCATGGCGGTGCTGTCCTCGTGAGATTCAGTACGCTGCTTAGGAGGCCTCTTAGCCTTCTCCTTCTTCTGAGCTGCTTCAGCATGGCGAGCCGCTTGCTCCAATTGCTGCTTTTGCAGAAGGGCAATTCGCTCCTTTAAGCTGGTTGGCTTTGGCTGATCTTCCGCCCCTTCTTCAGTTGCTTCGGTGGGTGCAGGTCTACTTGCAGAAACCGGAGGCTCGCGCATAGCCCGCTCCTGTACTTCTGTATCCTCTTCCCGCCGATAGACCTTCGGAGGCGGCTCTCTGGGTGGAGGCACATAGGAATTCTTGCTTGGAGGCGGCGCAACAAATGGCTTCTTGATAAACGATGTCGAATTCTGGCCGCCGAAGCCTCCTGGCTTGTAAGGCGCGATAGGCGGCGCAGCGGGTTTGTTAAAAGCCGCGATGCGGTCCTTAAATGACGACCCAATAGGTTTCTCTGCGACCGGGGGAGGTGCTGGTTTAGATGCCGACTTGGTGGCTGGCTCTTTCGGCTCACTTGAGGCCGAGGGAGCGGCCGGCGGGACTGCCGGAATTGGAGCTTGAACTGGTTGTGGCGGAGAAGAGACCTCAAACGCCGGCGCTTGCGCGGTAACCGGAGGCGATCTCGGCGGTTCGAGCACGGGTTCCTGCTCGAGCGAAGGGGCGCCCTCCAATGCTGGCTCCGGAGAGGGAAGGCGTTCAACATGAGGTTCCGCAGCAGCGGGTTCGGACGGAGCGACAACATTGGCTTCTTTCTTTGGTCTGCTAGGGCGTGTCGGCCGCGGGGGTGCAGGAGGTTCATACCTCTCGACGAAATTCTTCGGGAAGATGCCTTCTACCTTGGCCCCCGAGTCGTTTGTGTACTCGCCGAAATACCACTCCGCATCTTCCTCGGCAGTAACGGTTATGACCTGGCCGATTGAGAAATTAAGGTCATCATCATGGTCCGAAGTGTACTCGAAGACCGCTTTGACTGTGAACGGCGGGCTGGACATCTGGCAAGCCGAATTCTGTTGCGAAGAAATTGTGATGGTAGTCCAAATAGCTGGCTAATTGACACGAATGGCAAGATAGAAGCGCTGCGGTTGGTCCACAAAGGAGGGACGGAGAAAGGAGCTCTATACGTTATCAAGAGAAGCCTTCCTGAATGATCTCAATGCAGTTTGTCATATGGAAATGCACTTTGTGAATGAAGGAATGTATGCTGGATGTAAAAGAGAGTAATCTGTCAGCCTGATCGATCCACAGTATGTACGTCAGAGTATATGCCCCTAGGCATGGGATCACTGGAGTAAATGACTTACTACACAAAGGGGCACTGATCTTAGATGAGACAAAGTGTCCTGTGTGATTAAATGCCAAGGATGTAGAAAAATAACGGGGACGAGTAGTTTAGAGAAGTCGAAGAGGAGGCATCGAGGGGAATCACGGAGGTGGCAGTAGTCTTGTAGCAGCGCAGCGAGTGGTGGTCGTCACCGTCAGGCGGGACAAGGTGCTCCACCACGGGCGATCAGCGGCTACCTAATAAATAATGCCGCCAAGTTCCAACAGACCTGCCTCGCTTCTAATTCACTTCCTAGAGAAAAGTGGTTATCTTTGAGCGACATACACTGGATCAAAAGGGTACTACTTTTAAGTACTCAAATTTCAATCCTATCTTCCTTTGGTGTTTGTTATTGAATTGAATCCCACTGGTGGCTCAGTAAACCTCACCGAATCCGGGGTTTGCCTCGTGCCAACCCGACGAACACCACTACAGTATCAGCTTCCTTTCTTGCTTTCTTATTCTGCTACTAAGCACAAAGATAGTGTCGCTGCTGAAGTCAACCCATATTCAAAGCTCATCATGTCCGCAAATAAACCTATTCTCAAAACTTCTCTTCCAACTGCACATGCAGCCTCCTCACCAGCAGCACCACAAAAGCCCAGCAATGCCCGTCGTGCGCCACCCAAGTCAAAGGCGCCCCAGCCGCAAGAGGGCCAACCTACGAACAAGTCAAACGTCGATCCACGACATCTCGCAATCGCCATGCATCATGCGCACCAGATTCAGGCACAGAAAGACACAGAAGCTCTAATCCTAGACCGTATCCTCGAGCTTGTCACTTTTCCTTCTTCGCCGTCAGCAGACCCTTCGGCTCCGTCTGCCGAAGACGCTCGGGCTTTCAAAGCAGCCCTTGTTCCCTTCCAGCCTGCCGACTACGACAATTTGATCCTTGAACGGAACATCGAGGGCCTTTGTGGATATGGTTTATGTCCCCACGAGCACCGTAAAGAGGACGTTGGAGGCAAGTACAGAATTACATGGGGCGCCAAGGGTAGCGGCCCTGGGGGTCGTGGGCGCGAGATGAATATTATCCCGAAAGAGAAGCTCGAAATGTGGTGTTCGGATGAATGCGCCGAACGAGCGATGTATATACGGGTGCAATTGGCAGAGGAACCTGCATGGGAGCGCCGGGATGGTGCCCGCGGCAAGGAGCTCTTATTACTCGAAGAAGGCCGGGCCAGGGCACGAAAACAAAAAGGCAAGATGAGCAGTCCAGCCACCCTGAAAGAAGTCACTGGTCAAATGGAAGACCTCCACATGGAAGAAACTGAAGGGCCGAATGATCTAGCCAGCGCCGTCTCTGGCATATCCCTTCTTGATGACGCTCGCTCTCGTGAGCTCGCCATGGAACGTGGAGATGCAAATCCAGCTCTTCGAGCCGGCAGAGTGGATATAGCAGTTCGAGAGAACGAGGATCTCTCCCACGAGGTCACACCTCCGCAAATGCGGCCAGGCGATGACAAAGGAGGCTCCATTGAAGGTTACGTGCCAAAGGAAATGTGATGTTGATATGCATCAATCTCGTCAGGTTTGACATGGGCTTGGTCGCGACAGAGTGCGATGAGATATTTTGCTTTGTGGTTCTACGGCGTTTTTGTTTATGACGATACCCAAGTTACTGTTGTAAATAGACTGGAATAACCCGAATCTGATCCAATGAGGTGCAGTTGGTGGTGCAATTCGCAAAGGAAAAAAGGACTGCTGCTCTCTGACGGCATCCTGCACATCATGCAGGCAGGATCTTCTACGTATTGTCCGCTCCGAGGCGAGGCGGATAGTAAGCAAAAGGAGAAATTTTGGCAATCAAGCGTCATCTCCATCAGGAGAATCGGCGACACCTTTCTCAGCGAGAATCATGTTTCATTCCTGTGTCTCTAGGCTACATGATAGCTGCGGAAAGCCAGCCAGAGCAAGCATGATTGAGAACGCCATAGGTCGACCGAAGACAATCATTAACTTTTTTCATCGAGGCTTGAGGGCGCGCGAATCTACCGGAAGCGGCGGGGGCGCTCCTGGACCTGCTGCTGGGAGACGTTGATAACGTTGACCTTGAGGTTGTCGAACTGTAGTGAAGAAGAAAGGTTAACGGACTGAGTTTAAACCACGAGCAACCGCGCTGAAAAGCTAAACTTACGCCCATGGACTTGAGGAGGTCCTTGGTGTCGGCATCGACATCGAGCTGGCCGGACTCGGTCTGGGAAACATCCAGAGCGGAGACCTCAGGAACGTACTGATCCTTGCGCTCACGCTCCTCCTCCTGCAGCTTGAAAGAGATACCGCGGACAGGGCCACGCTGGATACGCTTCATAAGGTGGGTGGTGTAACCAGCGATCTGGTTGTTCGTCAGCACGTCAAATTCCGACTGCTGTGCGGCCCAATATTAGATTGCCTACCTTGTTGCGAAGACGCTTGGAGGCAATGATAGCGATCTCATCGCAAAGACGCTTGTTGGTCTCGAAGTCGAGCGTCAACTTGGGGTAGTAGCGCTCGATGATGACCTTGGCGGACCTCTTGACTGTCTATTATCGAGAAAAAAACATTTCGTCAGAATTGACACTCTTTTGGCCATCACTCAAAGAAAATCTCATGATTCTTTCTCTGTGACTTACCTTGGTTCTAACGCGACCCATTTTGGCGGTTGTGTGCTGGCTGGATGGATGTTCGAAAGACGAGACCTGATCCGTTCTTTTTTCTTGCTATATTGGAGATGCTGGTGTGCGGAAACCCTAGTATGGTCACATGATAGATCTTACCCTCACTGAAACGCCAAGAAATCAGTCGGCAGTCAACCATTGCATCAAAGGGCACCTTTCCCAATGAGGTAAGTACATAGTTGTGCCCAGGCTTATCTACAGAGTACTCAGATGAGTGCTGGTTGCCAAACTTCTACCATTGAACACAATTCTCTCTTGCGGGGAGTTCGGAATGACATTTGAAATGTTGATTTGCCTCCAAAATTCAATTTACACAATGCGTCCAACTTTATATCACAAGATCAACAGGAAATAAGAGTAATCTAATCGTACAGCCAGCTCTCCGTATCGCCAGGTATAGACATTGGGACAAACACTTAAATAGAGCTGAGAGTCCTCAAAAGGTTTCGTGCAACGTCCTCTTTATCTTGCTGGGGCTGCTCTATTGCAGACATATCCCCTCCCCTCCGAGTCTGGGTCAACAATCTGTCCAACTTGGGCACCACACGCTGCTCCCCACGGGCGACCTGGGAAATACTTGTCAAGCTAGGCTTCTTGTATTCCTCAATACCATAAGGTGCCTTAGCAGTGGCGCTAGCCCGGTATGACGCCAGGCCGATTCTACCGTCCGAGTCAACCGAAGCACGGATGGGAGTAACCCAGTACTTCGCACCACCGGGGATGGATGCGTCGAAGTACCCAAGACCTGCTGGCGAGCCTTGTTCAATAAAAGTCATGGCGTTGAGATCTTCCACCGCGATACCACCAACACCAGCAATAGCCTTAGATGTTTTGCCCTTGAAGCGACCCTTCGGCCGCAGGATACGGGCCTGCACAGGGCGTTGGTATGCCTGGGGACCGAATTTCGGGTGGTTGTAAATCAGAGCATGAGACCGCGTATATGACAGACCAGCAGAAGGGTGTGTCTTCGGGGGACCGGATACAGCATACTCCGCAGAGGAGAGTTTAGTACCTGGAGATTGGTAGTACTTGTGTCCGATACGGTCGCTAGGGACGGCGGGGGGCGATGGAAGATCCAACAGTTCGAAGACCACGGGGCCGAGAGAGAAGGGGTCGGCTCGGAGCGATTTGATGTACCTTTGGAACTCTTCCTCGGTGACGTTGAGCGGACCAAGTGCTTCTAGATCCTCGCCGTTATCCTGGGCTTGCTTTCTGCGTTCAGCAGTTCGCTTGGCAATGAAGTGTTCACGGAGCTTCTGGAGTAGCTCAGGCTTCCTCGCGCGCACTTTACTCAGATAAGCATTGAACTCCGCCTCCGTCTGCCCCGCGAGCCAAGGCCCAGAATGTCTGAACTGTTTGGCACCAGGCTCCTGAAGGCCTTTGCTCGTATCGGTATTGTCAACCACGGATTCGAAAGGACTCTGGTGTCTAGGGACCATGCTAGTCGCGTAGTTGACCTTGGAAGGAAGGGACATGGGCATATGAAGCTCCTGGAATTTCTCCAAAGTCACCGTGTGGTCGGCGGCGGATTCGAAGTCTGTGACATGTTCGAATGTGTCGAGTGCGTTGAGGCGGACAACAGGCCGGGACGACTTTTCTGATGTTGACTTTGCAGGGAGTGGTCGCTTTAACCCCCAGTCTCCTCTCGCTAGCGACGAAGCCGGGGTGACAATGGATGGTCGGATCGGATGAGGCAGGGTTGCGGTGTCGGATTCGAAAACGGTCTTCGAGGTTGCATCTTGCTGGGGTAATGGTAAGGCTGATGGAAGCGCAAAGAGACGGGACTTCCGAAGAAGATTCGCCGTCGGCGATAACCTGGCCGTCGCCATGGGCGTTATGGAAGACAATTGCAGTGTCTCGATGTTGTCTCCTCGATGCGGATTGAGCTGGAGAAAAGTTGATTGCATTTGCATGCCAAGCCGCGTACGGTGAGTGGCAGCGCCCAGAAGCGCATCTTAGTGGGCTGCATTTCCCCAATAACTATGTTGTTGCATCTCTGTGAATTTAGATGAATCATCAACTACTATTCCCTACATTATTGAGGCACAAAATTTGTATACATTGACTCTATTTCTAGACCATATTCAAGATTTTCTTGCTGTTCAAGCCCCAACAGCTAACAACGACTGGACTGTTTCTGTAACTGATTGCTTCAATGACCGGTACTGGATACCCAAGACCTCGATTGATTTTTTGTTGTTAAAACCGTATATATCAGCCGGCATATCATCTGGCGAGTCCTTGGAAGGTAGTTTATCAGCCAGCTCAGGATATGCCTCGCGAATGATATCAGCGACGGCCTTATTTGAGAAATGGCCGGCCGTGACGAAGAATCTTTGGCCGCCTGCTTCCGGAACTTCGATAGCTCTGACGTGTGCCAGCGCAACATCATGGACATCTACCCAGAGGAATGTGCCTGTAGGAGGAAGACCGTCTTTGCAATGGCCTCGGACCATATCGGCAATTCGTTTGTTGGAAGTGTTTATGGCGTCGAGCGAGTTCAAGTAGTGCACGATTGGACCGAGCACCAAAGGTGGGTTGATGGTTGCAATGTCAAAGTTGGGTTTCTCTTTTTCGACAAAGTCCCAAGCAGCCTTTTCCGCGAAAGTCTTGGGGTAGGCGCATATGTCAGCCAAGCACAATACGAGATACGAGGACGTATACATACTTTACTACCTCTGTAGGTTGCAGAAGGATCCAGCGCTTCTTCCCAGGTAACAGGGTTCCAGTTCTCCTCGCTGTACTCCTTGGCATGCTGCTTCGCATTGAGAATCGCTGCAAAAGATGAGGTAATAACGACTCTCTTGACCGTTGGTGCGTAGGCCATGATCGCCTTGAGCACACCCGTCGTTCCCTTGATTGCAGGGTCTAAGAAATCCTTCACGGGGTCGGTAACATTGAAGTGGAAAGGAGAGGCAGTATGAAGGACATAGTCGAATGGTGGATAAGATTTGACGGCCTTAACAGGGATTAGCTTTGGAGTTGCTAGATGGATCGAGCCAGTGTGACACTGAGGGCCTCAAGAAAAAAGAATTCTTACCTCATCGAAGGCTCCATCTGCTGCGACATCCTTGACAACAACAAAAGAAAGCTTCTCCTTCGGTGTATTGGGATGAGCTTCGAGTATCTTCTGGCCCTTCTCCTCGGATCGAACAGTTACCACGGTATCATATCTGTATTGCATCCTCGTCAGCTCACCCAGAACAGTCTATGGCTTCAAGTATTCTGCACTTACCCGCGTGCCAGCAGCACATCAATACAATGAGCAGCGATGAAGCCACTGCCCCCTAGACCGAGCATTAGGCTACAGAGCTAATAGCCAGGATGGTACTTGAAGCTTACCAGTCAGAAGAACTTTAACCATTGTGCCGGCGATTGATAAGGGTCTGGTTGCATCAAATTGTCAAAGTGACGGGTGCAAGTCAAGGCACGTCCCTGAGGAGGTACACTGTCTTTAAGTAGGCTTGCATCGCCCCTCTTTCATGATCTTCCCCACTATTATTGCGACCTACTGTTGTGGTTGTCATTGGACTCGCAAATCAGAGGTGTTGCGATGATTACAAATATCACAGAAAGTTTCCGTCAATCAAGGCGGAGATAGACGGAAAGAAGACCTTGGTTTCCTCGCTAAATCCGTCGGATTGATCTCCTGGTAGCTAACACGCGGGATGAAGTCCATTCAATATCTCGGGCCTGAGGGGTAAGATATCGGGTTTAGTGGGGTTTCCCCGACCAAAGCAGATGACGTCGGAGTCGAACACTGATATAAGGTACCTACAGACATTTGAAAAGAGTCAGTTGTCGGGTACATGGCGCCTTTGTAACACACAAGATTGAAAATGGTTTGCGAAATAGATGGAGGCTTTTGTTAATTGCAACTAGTCGATTATGGCTAATCCATGCTTGCAGTATATCACTTTCAAAGCCTTGACTCTCTGCCCTAGAACTAGAACTAATAATACATGGTTGATTTCTCGGATAATCCTGCGAGAATTGCTCCTTTATCAGTTCTCAATGATGTTCCAAGAATACTTCAGGGTGTACCTGGTTTCACGGATGACCTGCTGCGCTCAGGATTGCCATCCTAACAGCACCCTTGTCTTCCTTTAACAAAGGAGAGGGCTGCGCAACTATTTCACCCTCTCACTATGCCAATTGACCTAACTAATCAGTGTGAATCTGAGGCATCTCAGTTGTAACCGGATTGCAAACAGAAAATCTTTAAAAGCTTGGAATCACCGCAAGCTTGCTACCAGGAGAGGGGCAGCAATACAGGACCTTCCCATAGCTTGAATTCATCTGCATTAGAATATACTGTGCTCTGGAACCAGATAGCACCTATTAAATGGACTGGGGCTGAACTTAAGAGACGTCAAGAACGTCCTGTCTCTCGACTAGAGCATCTGCCCAGGAGAAGTCAACACTGTCTGGAAATTATTCCTTATCACACACGCGACTGGGACTCACGGCAATGGATCCCTTGCTAATCGAACTTGGAGGGTAGTGATATGTATGCTCTTTGAATGAGTTCAATCACTTATCAGTGAACATGGAATCTTCACGGTGTTTTTGTTCCAATGTGGAATGCTTGCAATCAGGAGTAATGTTGCAGGAGCAACTGTGTAAATAATGGGCGTGTATTGTAGCGAAAAGCATCAATATGGGCCCTGCTCTAGAACGTTGCTCGCGGACATGTGTAAGAGACCAGGGTCATCTGACGAGGTCAGTGGACTTGGGATCCCGAGCAGTGCCCGAGTCAATGGAACAGAAAGCTTCGGTTGCACAGTCTGGAATTCATGTTGTTGACAATTGAAGCGCAAGTGAGAGCCCCTAGCATCCCGAACTTTTCGAAAACTCTAATCAGTCTGTATTGTGAAGCATTTATTGACCGATTCAAGTGGTTTGTAAGTAGAACCGCAGCAAGGTATCTCTCGGCTAGATATCAAACCGATCATTAGCAGTCATCGTGAAGAGATGCCTCGAGACCATCTCAGCTACATAATCCCAAATGACGCATTGCAGTAATCATCCATACTTGAAAAGGATTGTTGTAACCAGTTTCTAGAAAGGAGGTTGACTATAGCCAAGTGAGTAAGTGAGTAATCAGTTTCCGGGCTGAATACTGATGCCCCAGGCGAGAACAGGTGTGGTCCGTGCACACACCCGCCAGGCTCTCGAGACCTGCACCTCATCCATCACTACTGAAGCCCACTACTGTCCCGTCGACCTCCTATCTTTCATGCTGACTTCGTGTTAAATTGCATGCCCTAGAGGTTGACTTCAAATGTCCACCCTGGGGTGTGGTTTACCAACATGGCGCAAGCAGGTCCTATTACGGACATCACTCAGCGACTCTTCGTTGAGTTGAAATCCAAGAATGAGGAGACGCGGGTAAGAGCTGCATTTGAGCTCTACGATAACGTCCTGGCTATCTCGAGAGGTAATACTTTGCATTTCGGTCGCATCCAGGACTTGGCTAATTCCCAATGATCTCGAACCCCGCAGATTGGCCTCCGGAGAAGTTCCTCGAATTCTATAACGCTGTCAGTCAACGCATCGCGCAGCTCGTGGTCACCGGCAGTGACGCACATGAACGGATCGGCGGACTTTTGGCTCTTGATCGCTTGATTGATTTCGATGGCGTCGATGCGGCTCAGAAAACCACTCGATTCGCGAGTTATCTGCGTAGCGCCTTGCGCAGCAATGACAATGCAGTGTTGGTCTATGCAGCTCGATCTTTGGGACGATTGGCGAAGCCGGGCGGCGCTCTTACTGCGGAATTGGTCGAAAGCGAGATTCAGTCAGCGTTAGAATGGCTTCAGTCTGAACGACAGGAAAGCAGGCGCTTCGCTGCTGTGCTTGTCATAAGAGAGCTTGCCAAAGGCTCGCCAACGCTCCTTTATGGGTTTGTTCCACAGATCTTCGAACTCATCTGGGTCGCTCTGCGGGACCCCAAAGTTCTTATACGAGAAACAGCCGCGGAAGCGGTCTCTGAGTGCTTTGAGATCATAGCCGCCAGAGACGTTCAAGTCCGACAATTGTGGTTTGCGAGAATATATGAGGAAGCACTTTTGGGTCTCAAATCAAGCAATGTGGACTGGGTACATGGATCGCTCCTAGTACTCAAAGAGCTTCTTCTCAAGGGAGCGATGTTCATGAACGAGCATTATCGGAACGCATGTGAGATTGTTCTCCGTCTCAAGGATCACCGTGACCATAAGATTCGCGCCCAAGTTGTCCAGACAATCCCTATACTCGCCTCCTACGCCCCTGTCGACTTTACAGAGATCTACCTCCATAGATTCATGATTTACCTGCAGGCGCAACTGAAGAGAGACAAGGAACGAGACGCAGCATTCATAGCGATTGGAAAAATCGCTAATGCAGTTGGTGCTGCCATTGCACAGTATCTTGATGGAATCATCATCTACATACGCGAAGGACTAGCACTAAAAGCGTAAGTCTCTGTGCTCTCGTCTCATTGAAAGTGAGCTAACATCTGCAAGTCGAAATCGAGCTGCTGTAAACGAAGCACCAATGTTCGAGTGCATCAGCATGCTATCCTTGGCTGTTGAGCAGGCGCTCAGTAAATATATGGAATCTTTGCTTGACCCTATATTTGCGTGTGGGTTGAGCGAATCACTGACACAAGCACTTGTTGACATGGCTCACTACATCCCGCCCATCAAACCTACCATTCAGGAAAAGCTCTTGGATATGCTCAGTTTGATCCTTCACGGGACACCCTTTCGTCCCCTCGGTTGCCCAGAGAGCAGGCTACCTCCCATGCCGTCATTCGCAAAGGACTTCGCTCCCCAGGAGTTGCACTCTGACGCGGAAATTGCTCTGGCACTTCATACTCTGGGAAGTTTTGATTTCTCCGGTCACATTCTCAATGAATTTGTGCGCGATGTGGCCATCAATTACGTCGAGAATGACAATACTGAGATTCGGAAGGCTGCAGCGCTCACCTGCTGCCAACTTTTTGTCCATGATCCAATCATTAATCAGACAAGCAGTCATTCCATACAGGTCGTCAGCGAAGTTATTGATAAATTGCTGACCGTCGGAATCGGTGACCCAGACCCAGAGATCCGACGTACAGTATTGTGGTCGCTGGATCGCAAATTTGATCGTCATCTTGCAAGACCAGAAAACATCCGCTGTCTGTTCTTAGCCGTAAACGACGAAGTCTTTGCCGTTCGGGAAGCTGCAATTTGTATCATTGGCCGTCTTTCAAGCGTCAACCCAGCCTATGTGTTCCCGCCACTACGAAAATTGCTAGTGAATCTTCTGACAGGTCTTGGATTTGCGAGCACGGCCCGACAGAAGGAGGAGAGTGCTCAACTCATCAGCCTATTCGTCTCGAATGCGACCAAGCTCATTAGGTCGTATGTCGATCCTATGGTGACAACGTTACTCCCGAAGGCAACGGACGCCAACCCAGGCGTCGCCTCGACCACTTTGAAAGCTGTGGGAGAGCTTGCGAGTGTTGGCGGCGCAGAAATGAGAAATTACCTCCCGCAGCTAATGCCAATCATCCTGGACTCATTGCAGGATCTCTCTTCACATGCTAAGCGAGAGTCGGCTTTGCGAACGCTGGGCCAATTAGCCAGCAACTCTGGCTATGTCATTGATCCATTTCTGGAATATCCTCATCTGCTTGCCGTTCTCATTAATATCATCAAGACAGAGCAAACTGGGTCTTTGCGCAAAGAGACCATCAAGTTGCTGGGAATTCTTGGTGCTCTTGATCCGTACAAGTACCAACAAATTAGCGAAATCGAACCCGATGTCCACCACATCAACGAAATTCAGACGGTCTCTGATGTTGCCCTCATCATGCAGGGTCTCACGCCTTCCAACGAGGAGTATTATCCAACTGTCGTCATCCATACCTTGATGCAGAATATCTTGCGTGAAAACTCCCTTGCTCAGTACCACTCTGCGGTCATCGATGCGATTGTTACAATCTTTAAGACTCTGGGTTTAAAGTGTGTGCCGTTTCTGGGCCAGATCATTCCCGGCTTCATATCGGTCATCAGAGGTTCGCCGCCTAGCCGCCTAGAATCCTACTTCAATCAAATGGCTATCTTGGTGAATATTGTTCGACAGCATATTCGAGCCTTCCTCCCAGAGATTATTGAGGTCATCCAGGAATTTTGGGATTCATCCTACCAAGTGCAAGCGACTATCTTGTCACTCATTGAAGCGATAGCTAAGTCTCTGGAGGGTGAGTTCAAAAAGTACCTGGCAGCCATGATTCCTTCAATGTTGGACACTCTTGAGAAGGACAACACCCCTCGCCGCCAGCCTTCAGAAAGGATTCTCCACGCGTTCCTCATCTTTGGCGCCAGTGGGGAA